AGATTCTCGGGAGGCTGGGATAGTAAAGGGAAGCTCACGTAGCTATGGGCCCAGCTCAGGGGAGGAAGATCGGGGGAGGAGACACCCTCGAAAAGCGGCAACATCACCTGAACGTCACCTCTTCCTTCTCCATGTAACTGACAGCTGACTCAGGAAGAATGGAATAAATTTAATGACTATTTAGTTAAATTTGTTAAGTTAAAATAACCGGAAACAGCTTGCAGATACTTAATAGGTTTAGGATTTTGTTTATGTTAAGTGATGAATGAATATGCTTAATTATATAAGGTGAAGATTTAAGGGTGTTAATGTCTAAGTTAAATTTTATAAAAATTGGGATTTGGAAAACCGTTAAAAGGACATGCAATGAAATTTAACTAAGGGGAAGCGAGGAAGGCACTTAACAAAGTTAATAACAGTAATTTTCAATAAGGCTATGATTTATGTTTGTTTGTCCTATGTGTTTGTTTGTTTATAATATTGTGAAAACCAATAAAAAAAAATTTGGGGGGAAAAAAGGAACTGACAGCTGACACCGGATCCGCACCCGAAAGCTGCTGGACTTCCCTCGTACATTCTCGGCCACGACCCTTTTATATACAGAGCTTGAGGGCTAGAAGCTTGACGTCTTTAAAAGGAAAGAAGGTAAGCTGGAATTCTCAGGGCAATTGCATGGCCGCTGCTGATATAGAGGCTGTCTTCTAAGGTCCTCAGCGGAGGGAAATTGGAGAGCTTCGCTGGTTACAGCGTGGCACTGTTGATGCCAAGGCTGAAGGTTTGATCCTCATATGGGATGGCTGCATATTCCTGAATTGTGGGGGGTTGGACTAGATGACCCTTAGGGTCCCTTCCAGCTCGACGAATCGACAAATCTACGATTCTATTCTTCGCAAGCAAAAAGTAGCGGTCCTCTGGAACTCTTCAGAGAAAGGATGTGGTTTTAAAAATTGTAAGACGTTGAGATAAACTGTACCTTTAGGATTCTCGTTTGTATATAATTATCTCTAACCTTTCCTTTTTTTTTTTTTTGAAACGGTGAAACTATTGTTTAATTAGCCGCTGGGCAACTGCGGAGAAATGGGACACTGCTTTTGGGGAGCGGGGGCTGAGGGGGGCCTGAGAACGTAAGCAGAGACACAAACCCCAAAACGTTGCCTTCAGAAACATACTCCTCCGAATTCAATGAGACTGGCTGCCTAGCAGAATAGCTCTAAATTTAAATAAAAATAAAAATTTATTGGCATAAACACATTCAGTGGTACCTCGGGTTACATACGCTTCAGGTTACAGACTCTGCTAACCCAGAAATAGTGCTTCAGGTTAAGAACTTTGCTTCAGGATGAGAACAGAAATCGTGCTCCGGTGGCGCAGTGGCAGCAGCAGGAGGCCCCATTAGCTAAAGTGGTGCTTCAGGTTAAGAACAGTTTCAGGTTAAGTACGGACCTCCGGAACGAATTAAGTACTTAACACGAGGTACCACTGTACAGAAGAGCTTTCCAGACTTTTCATGCTGGCGACACACTTTTCAGGCGTGCATCATTTCGCGATGCAGAAATTTCATTTTGCTAGCAAACTTGTTTTACTAAGAAACCCCTTTCCAACATTCACGCGACACACCTACAAACCAAAGCTGGCAAACAAACGTGTTGCGACGTACGGTTTGGAAGGCTCTGACCTACAGAATACAATAAAAACGACGAAGAAAAATAAACGTGAAAGTAGAAAAATAAAACACAGACGCAGAGGGGTTTTTTTTAAAAAAAAGCAACAACCAGGAAACGACTGAAAATAAGATACAGAATTCAATTGTCACGTATAACTAATCCAGATTGCGGCTGCCGGACTGGGAATGGCCGCTGGGACCATATGCCACTGGTCCTCAAAGTTCTTCACTGGCTTCCGGCAAGTTTCTGAGCACAATTCAAAGTGTTGGTGCTGACCCTGAAAGCCCCAAATGGCCCAGTAGACCTGAAGGAGTGTCTCCACCCCCATCGTTCTGCCCGGACACCTGGGTCCATCTCCCGATGGTCTTCTGGCGGTTCCCTCCCTGCGAGAAGCGAGGTTACAGGGAAGCAGGCAGAGGGCCTTCTCGGTGGTGGCGCCCGTTCTGTGAGGACAAAATGTCTGAATGGTGGGGAGGAACTGAAAAGGCCACCTGGAGCTCCTTAGAGGAGAGGGGGCCTATGACTATAATAATAAATAAAATAATAATAATCAGCATTCCCTGGTGCATTCAAGAAAAGGCAAGACGGAAACCTCTACTTAAAAGTGCCTAATAATAATAATTTTATTATTTATACCCCGCCCATCTAGCTGGGTTTCCCCGGCCACTCTGGGCGGCTCCCAAAATATATATTAAAGAGCACAATAAAACAGCAACATAGGCGCCGACTCCATGGGGCTTGAGGGGGCCCGAGCCCCCTCAAAAATTCGTTTGGGGGGGCTCTGCCCCCCCAATAATCTCCAGCGCCCCTCCAGCAGAGCGCCATCGCCGCCCCTCCCCCAGCCCAAAATGCACAGGGAGGGGCGGGCTGCATGCCTCCTGCCCTCCCTCCCGAGCAAAAGCTCCACCCAATTTCCTTTGGAGCTGATTAATAGGCGCAGCACGCTCTCCCCTATTCGCTCACGAGGAGGCGGCGCCACTTTATTTGCATATTCATGAGCTTATTTATTATTCATGAGCTTTCCCGGGCCCCCCCAATATTTTTTATAAGTCCGCGTCCCTGAACAGCAACCATTAAAAACTTGCCTGAACAGGGCTGCCTTCGGATGTCTTCTAAAAACCAAATAGTTGTTTATCTTGTTTGTGAGTAACTATATAGCTGTGATGGGATTATGAGCTGCTTGTGCGTAAAATCCTAGTCCCTCAGAGTTTGGTTAAGTCAGCAAACCTCTGTCTATAACGGAGCTCCGTCAGTCGCTGGCAGAATCCGACAGTGGGCGCTTACGGAATCTCTTCCAACATAAAAGCTCCTTAACGGAAACGCGTCTTCTGGACTCTCGGCGCGACAGTTTCCGGCGAGGAGTGGGTGTCCCTATAGGAGGTCCTGACACCTCCCCACTATTTTCGCTGGAAGTGTCTCTGAGCCATCCCTCCGACTCACTTTCCCTTGGAGCTCCTTCTCTCCCCCTGCTGGTTCCCTCTTCGGCTGCTAAGTCTCTCCTAACCTCTGTGAGCCCTTCCACCTCCTGTCCTTCCGATGGCAGTTCCCTGACAATAGCCTTTAGAAGACATCTGAAGGGAGTCCTGCATAGGGAAGCTTTTTAAAGTTATTATTTTGTTTCTATGTGTGTTGGAAGCTGCCCAGAGTGGTTGGGGGAATGCAGTCAGATGGACACGTTACAATAATAATAAATAATAATAATTATATCTGTTTGACATCTGATGGAAGGGTGTTCCACAGGGTGGGTGCCACTACTGAGAAGGCCTTCTTGCCAGGTTCCCTGTAGCTTCACATCTCGCAGGAAAATAGCTCCACTTCTCCAGTGAAAATAGGGACGTCCTATTCCATCCCCTCCAACGTTTCTCCCCTGAAAATAGGGACGTCCTATTCCATCCCCTCCAACATTTCTCCCGTGAAAATAGGGACGTCCTATTCCATCCCCTCCAACGTTTCTCCCCTGAAAATAGGGACGTCCTATCCCATCCCCTCCAACGTTTCTCCCCTGAAAATAGGGACGTCCTATTCCATCCCCTCCAACGTTTCTCCCCTGAAAATAGGGACGTCCTATCCCATCCCCTCCAACGTTTCTCCCCTGAAAAGAGGGACGTCCTATTCCATCCCCTCCAACGTTTCTCCCCTGAAAAGAGGGACGTCCTATTCCATCCCCTCCAACGTTTCTTTGCTGAAAGTATGGATGCCATAAGGAAAAGCGGGAGCTTCCGGGATCAGATCAGAAACCGGGACGGCTTCTGTAAATCTGGGACTGTCCCTGGAATATATAGACACTTGGGAGGGTCTGATCTCATGGTTGTGAGTTCGAGTCCTATGCTGGGCAATTGATTCCTGCATTGCAGGGGGTTGGAGTTGATGACCCAGGGGTTCCTTATAATTCTACAATCCCTGGTCAAAGAAGCAACTATCTTTGATAGATTGAAGAACGTCCTATTTAATAGAAGTATCATCTCCTGAGTAGGTGTCCTGGGCACCCACAAAACTCCCCATAAACAGCCTTGGTCCAGTATATCTGAAGGAGCGTCTCCACCCCCATCATTCTCCCCGAACACTGAGGTCCAGCGCCGAGGGCCTTCTGGCGGTTCCCTCCCTGCGAGAAGCCAAGTTACAGGGAACCAGGCAGAGGGCCTTCTCGGTGGTGGCGCCCGCCCTGTGGAACGCCCTCCCAGCAGATGTCAAAGAGAAGAACTACTACAGTGGTACCTCGGGTTACATACGCTTCAGGTTACAGACTATGCTAACCCAGAAATAATACCTTGGGTTAAGAACTTTGCTTCGGGATGAGAACAGAAATTGCACGGCAGCAGCAGGAGGCCCCATTAGCTAAAGTGGTGCTTCAGGTTAAGAACAGTTTCAGGTTAAGAACAGACCTCCGGAACGAATTAAGTACGTAACCAGAGGTACCACTGTACCAGACTTTTAGAAGACACCTGGAGGCAGCCCTGTTTAGGGAAGCTTTTAATGTTTGATGCATTACTGTATTTTAATATTTTGTTGGAAGCCGCCCAGAGTGGCTGGGGAAGCCCAGCCAGATGGGCGGGGTATAAATAATAAATGATGATGATGATGATGATGATGATGATGAAGGGGCCGGGCACCCACCAATTTCGGCGCCAGGGCATGGCACCCAGGGGCCAAGGTGGCTCTCTTGTGCGCGGAGAATGACTTTTCTTTGATGGGCTTTTGATGGGCGGCGGGCCAAAAAGTTGTGTAGCTTTATGGCGAGAGATCTCACAAAGCGTTGCTGAGCTTTTGGGGGGAGATCGCTGGGGGGGGGGAGGAAACTCCCACCGGGGCAAACTCGGGAGAAACTCCCCAGCCGCAGCCTGTGGGCTTGCGCCCCAGCCTGCGCCGAGAGAAACGCGCCGGCATCGCGTCCCAGCCTGGTTTCTTTGCGCTCCACCCTCTGCGCGCTCCTCCCTCCGACGGCACCCAGGGGTGGAGACTGGCCGGGTAGGAGGGTCAAACCGTCGCAGCCTCAGTTGCCCTCGCCCCTGGCGCGTGCACGAGAGCGCGCGCCGCCCAGCCTGGGCGGGGACGGTCGCCGGCGTCCCTCCCCTCCTGCCGTCTCTCCACGTTGCGCCAGGGGCGAGGCGGAGCGGCGGCGGCGCGCAAGCCTGTCCATCCGAGGAGGAGGCGAGGAGCCGCCTGGACGGCTTTTTTTGGGGAGCGAGGAAGGCGGTGCCATCATGTCGGGCTTGGATTACCTGGCCGCCGAGTGTCTCGTTTCCATCTCCACCGGAGCCCTGCTACACCCGGCCGCCGGAGCCAAGGAGGAGCGCGGGGCGCGCCCCATCGTCGCGGCCCCGCCGGAGGCGGCGGGGGAAGCCCTGGGAGGAACCCCCGACGGCGCAGGCAACCTCTCCGGCGCGGCCAAGAGGCACCGATGCCCTTTCCAGGGCTGCGCAAAAATCTACGGCAAATCTTCCCATCTGAAGGCGCATCTCCGGACGCACACGGGTAAGGGTCGCCCCCCCAGCCCGGGGACAGTCTCTCTCTCCCCCCCCACCTCCATCTTACACCCCAGGGGGCCGACGGGGGTCTTTGCCCCCCTCTTCAAACATATCCCCAAATGTGGATAGGCATTCAAACGCGCGCCATGTGATGGATTGTGCGGGTTGACTGGGGCCCCCGATATTTCGTTCAAGGTGGCACCCCCGAAACCCCGAGGCCCCCCTCCCCTCCGGCCGGTTCCCGCCTCGCTTTCCCTCCCCCGCCCCACCCCCGTGGCCTCCACCCACGTGGGGAGACCGCGCCTCGCTCGCTCGCTCTGGGCGGCGTCGACGCACGCATTTCCTGAATTTGGGCTCGGGCGATTACGCAGCCCACCCACGTCGCGAGAGAGACCTCTGCGCCCGGTCTCTCTTGCCCGCCCTTGCGCGGTGTCGCCCGGGCGCGCCTCCGCCGCCTTCCTTCCCCCCCCTCCCACGCCCCCGCGCGTGGGCTGAGCGATCCCGGCCCCACGTGCTGCGAAAGCGCGCCCGGAGAGCGCAGAGGGTGGGATGCGGAGACTCTCCAGCGTGGGCGGCTTGGGTTTAGATCTGTCTCGTATCCTATCGATATGTCCCTTGAGGACCAAAATCCCAGGTTCGGTCGAGCCTCCGGGGCCAGGCGCAGTCTACCTCGGCCGCCGGAGAACAAGCAAACAAGCGTATTTGATCCGGTAGGGTTTTCGCTTGCCAAAAGACTGGAGGATGCGCCGGGTTTTGCTTTACGCCCCTGCCTAGGGGTGTAAGGAGGTGGGGTGGGGTGGGCTAATCAATACAAATCTGAGGTTCTGCTTCTCGCCCCTCCACCCACCCCACCAAAAGCCTGCCCCGCCCTAGCAAAAATCCTGGCTACGCCCATGTCCCTGCTCCCTAATTTGAAGAAAAACCTTATGGAAATCTTTTCCCCGGCTTCAAAACTCGCCCACTTCTTGTTTGGCAAATGTCTTGCCATGTGGGGCGGCGGGTGGGGCTGGCCCAGGGTGGCCTGATTTGGGAGGGGGGCGGGTGGGAGGGACCTGCTGTGTGGAAATTTCAATTTGGGGAGGGGTTTGGCTGTGGCTTGGTTTCTTGGCTCTCCACCCAGACCTGCTGGGCAAACACAGCCATTTACAACCCCCCCCCACCAAAAAAAAAAAAAAAAAAAACCATCAGAAAGTAAACACCTTAAGAGAGTGGGTGGGAAGGTTGTGGCGAAGTGGGATGGGCACAAAACGGGCAAAGATCGCTTTTGCCAGCCCTGGAGAGACCGGTTACCAACCGAAAACCTGGCCTTTTACAGGAATTTGCAGGCGAGCAAGAGGGAAAATGGCACAGTGTCCAATTCCGATTTTGTATTAAAAGGGGAGGAACTGTTCGCTGCTAGGAAAGTATGTGGCTTCCCTGGTTCGGATTGTAGACATTTGCACCATGCCCGCAACGTGCTGAGTTAAAAAACTCAGATACAGCGGTACCTCGGGTTAAGTACTTAATTCGTTCCGGAGGTCCGTTCTGAACCTGAAACTGTTCTTAACCTGAAGCACCACTTTAGCTAATGGGGCCTCCTGCTGCTGCTGTGCAATTTCTGTTCTCATCCTGAAGCAAAGTTCTTAACCTGAAGCACTATTTCTGGGTTAGCGGAGTCTGTAACCTGAAGCGTATGTAACCCGAGGTACCACTGTATAGTAGCTAATTGCCAAATGGAATCTTAAACCAAGGTTACTGTCACCACAACAGAATGTCGGCGCCTTTGTTTTGGCCGTGTGACTTATTACTATAATAATTGTTATTCATTTCTATACCGCTTTATATTAACAAAGAACAAATCTCAAAGCGGTTTACAACGCATTAAAACGCCAACCGAAACCCGAAATAAATAAATAAATAAATAAATAAACCGCAAGCTTCACAGAGACTTTTTTCTTCTTCTTTTTCAATTTTTTATATTGGTTTTCACAACATTATAAACAAACAAACACATAAAACAAACAAACATAAACCATTGCCATATTAAAAACTACACGTATTAACATTGTTAAGTGACTTCCTCGCATCCCCTTGGTTGAATTTCATTGCATATCCTTTTAACGGTTTTCCAAATCACGGAGACTTATTTCGGATCCTTCTCTGTAAGTGAAATTTCGCTTTCCCCATATTTATGGACCTCCTTAATTTAGAGAGCTGCCCCACAGCAGAAGGGCTCTAGAACGGCAGTGTGGTGTATTGGTTAAGAGCGTCGGGCTAGGACCTGGGAGATGAGGGTTCGAATCCCCGCTGCGTCCGTAAACTCACTGGGTGACCTTGGACCCTGGGCCGAGAGAGCAAGGGCCAGGAAACCCATTTTTTTCTGCCTGGGGCCACATTCCCCAGTTGACAACATTCTGAGGGCCGTGGGGAAGGGGGTGTGTGTGGAGATACTGCAGCAAATATAAGTTTGCCTGTGGACAAGAGGCTACACTTTAGGTACACAAAGAGCCGGGGGTTTCATTACATGAGCAAACACAAACACACTTTTCCCTCTGATCAAGAAAGAGGCTTTATTACAGACCGCCTTCTCACCAAAACGATATTCAGGAGCTCAAAAGGGAACCCTCTCTTTGCCGTAACCAAAATGAAGAGCGGCAAGGACTTTTGCACACAAAAAACCCACAACCACAGCCTGCTCCTGGATTACGAAGTTCTCGCTTTCCAGATAGACTGCTCCTACTCAGGAAGACCGATAGGTGAAGATGAACCGCCATCACAGAACCGCAGATTTCCCCTCCCTATCGCCTTGGCGGAACGTAAACTGGTGTTTGTTTATTTCTCCGAAGAACTCGCTGCTTCGGAACGCCTAATCGGTTTAGTGTCCTGATACACAAATCCAATTCTTTTTTTTTTCCTTCCAAAAATTTTATTAGTTTTCACAATATTATAAACAAATAAACAAACACACATAGATCATAGCCTTGTTGAAAATTACAGTTATTAACTTTGTTAAGTGACTTCCTCGCTTTCCCTTGGTTGAATTTCATTGCATGTCCTTTTAACGGTTTCCCAAATCCCAATTTTTATGAAATTTAACTTAAACACTAACATCCTTATAGCTTCACTTTATGGAATTAAACATATAAATTCATCACTTAACATAAATAAAACCCTAAGCCCATGAAGTATCTGCAAGCTATTTTCAGTTAGTTTAACTTAACAAATTTAACTAAATAGTCATTAAATTTATTCCATTCTTCCTGATACTCCTCCTCCTTCTGGTCGCGGACTCTTCCGGTTAGGTCGTCTAGTTCCGAAAAATCCATCATCTTCATCTGCCATTCTTCTATCGTTGGTAATTCTTGGGTTTTCCACTTTTTAGCTAACAAAATACGATCAGCGGTTGTGGCATACAAAAATAATTTAACAAATCCAATTCTGGGCACAGAGAAAGAGCTGTCAACGAGTTTGGAACAGATAGTTCCTTCGATGGAGAGCTGGAGAGCTGTTAGCGGTGCTTTCACGCTGTGTTTTAAAGTCCCCATCTTGCAAAGGCACAAGGCAGCTTCAAAAAGCTTTGCCGAGAAAAACAAAGCGTCAGGGCTGCATCTGGGTAAACAGACGCTCCAAAAGGAGAGAGAAGAGAGAGGGGGAAAAACAAAACCCCACGGTTTGCAGACTTTTGCTTGTGCAATCCTGACATCTGCCTGCTTGGCTTAGCTTTCCTCCCACAAGGAGATTAAGGGCAGCGAACTCTCATGGGCATGAGCTAGGTTGCAAAGACATCTGCTGCGACACGCTCCTTTGGCAGAGCAGAGCCCAGTTAACCTAAGTCAAGGTTCTAGTCCTCGTGCGGCCCAAATAAGGACCGGTTTACAGTGTGGTCCCTTGGTTCTCAAACTTAATCCGTTCTGCCGGAGGTCCGTTCCAAAAGCAAAGCGTTCCAAAACCAAGGCGCGCTTTCCCATAGAAAGTAATTCAAAACGGATCAATCCGTTCCAGACTTTTAAATGTAAAGGGACCCCTGACCACGAGGTCCAGTCGTGGCCAACTCTGGGGTTGCGGCGCTCATCTTGCTTTATTGGCCGAGGGAGCTGGCGTACAGCTTCCAGGTCATGTGGCCAGCAGGACTAAGCCGCTTCTGGCGAACCAGAGCAGCGCACGGAAACGCCGTTGACTTCCCGCCGGAGCGGTACCTATTTATCTACTTGCATTTTGACGTGCTTTCGAACTGCTAGGTTGGCAGGAGCAGGGACCGAGCAACGGGAGCTCACCCCGTCATTGCGGGGATTTGAACCGCCGACCTTCTGATCGGCAAGTCCTAGGCTCAGTGGTTTAACCCACAGCGCCACCCGCGTCCTTAGACTTTTAAAAGCAACTCCTAAAACAGCAATTGGACACAAATTTTACTACCTAATGAGACCATTGATCCGTAAAATGAAAGCAGTAATCAATGTACCGTACTTTAAAATAAATAAGACAATATTGTAGATGGTAAAAATTGAAATGGATTTTTTTCCCCTTACCTGCACCGATCATGGTCATGGTTTGGATTTTATCCATTTCCTCAGCCACACGATCAATCCGTCAGTAGCTGAACTGGGTTCCACACAGTCACGAAAACAAATTAACCGAAAAGGCCTCAAAAACAAAAACGCAAAATAAAGAGCAAAAACAAAAGCGCCAAACTTAATCCGTTCCCGAAGTCTACTGGGCCATGGCCGTTTAGGGCTTTAAAAGTCAGCACCAACACTTTGAATTGTGTTCGGAAATGTACTGGGAGCCAATGTAGGTCTTTCAGGACCGGTGTTATGTGGTCTCGGCGGCCGCTCCCAGTCCCCATTCTAGCTGCCGCATTCTGGATTAGTTGCAGTTTCCGGGTCACCTTCAAAGGCAGCCCCACATAGAGCGCATGGCAGTAGTCCAAGCGGGAGATAACCAGGGCATGCGCCACTCTGGCCAGACAGTCCGCAGGCAGGGAGGGTCTCATCCTGCGTCCCAGATGGAGCTGCCCTGGACACAGAACTGACCTGCACCTCCATGGACAGATGTTAGTCAAAAATGACCCCAAGGCTGTGCACCTGGTCCTTCGGGGGCACAGTCACCCCATTCAGGACCAGGGAATCCCCCACACCTGCCTGCCTCCTGTCCCCCAAAAACAGTCCTTCTGTCTTGTCAGGATTCAACCTCAATCTGTTAGCCGCCATCCATCCTCCAAGAGTCAAAATTTATGTCTGTATGTTTAGTTTGTATGTTTCTTTTCTTTTCTTTTTTGTAATCTTAAGTTGAGAGGTGTATGATGTTGTTGTTGAGTCGTTTTGTCGTGTCTGCCTCTTCGTGACCCCCTGGACCAGAGCACGCCAGGCCCTCCTGTCTTCCACTGCCTCCCGCAGTTTGGCCAAACTCATGCTGGTAGCTTCGAGAACACTGTCCCACCATCTCGTCCTCTGTTGTCCCCTTCTCCTTGCGCCCTCCATCTTTCCCAACATCAGGGTCTTTTCCAGGGAGTCTTCTCTGCTCATGAGGCGGCCAAAGTCTTGCAGCCTCAGCTTCAGGATCTGTCCTTCCAGTGAGCACTCAGGGCTGATTTCCTTCCGAATGGAGAGGTTTGATCTTCTTGCAGTCCATGGGACTCTCAAGAGTCTCCTCCAGCACCAGAATTCAAAAGCATCCATTCTTCGGCCATCAGCCTTCTTGATGGTCCAGCTCTCACTTCCATACATCACTACTGGGAAAACCATAGCTTTTACTATACAGTGGTACCTTGGATTACATATGCTTCAGGTTACAGACTCCACTAACCCAGAAATAGTACCTTGGGTTAAAAACTTTGCTTCAGGATGAGAACAGAAATCGTGCTCCGGCACCGCGGCGGCAGTGGGAGGCCCCATTAGTTAAAGTGGTGCTTCAGGTTAAGAACAGTTTCAGGTTAAGAACGGACCTCCAGAACAAATTAAGTACGTAACCAGAGGTACCACTGTACGGACCTTTGTTGGCAAGGTGTATGTATCTATGTAGAATAAGTTTGTTTCATGTTCTGGTTTGTGTTTGCAAGTCTTTCATTTATCAATAAAAGTTTTAAATAAATAAATAAGAAATTAATTGTATCCACCCTGACTTCAGCTTAACGTTCCCACCGCGAACGACAACACGACTCACGCTTTGCTTTTCTCTCTGCTTTGCAGGCGAGCGCCCGTTCCCTTGCAGTTGGCCCTCCTGCCAGAAGCGATTCGCCCGTTCCGACGAGCTGGCACGCCACCTGCGCACCCACACCGGCGAGAAGCGCTTCGCCTGCCCGCTCTGCGAGAAGCGCTTCATGCGCAGCGACCACCTGACCAAGCACGCCCGCCGCCACCCGGCTTTCCGCCCCGACATGGTCCGGAGACCTGAATCCCACAGCGCCTCTCCCAGTGACTCTGCCGCAAGCAGTCTGGCCGGGAGCCCCGCCCACGACAGCCCCGCCCCCTGAAATGGCCCCGCTGCTACCCACGATGCTTTGCTGGCCCCAGCCCACCAGGGACCCTCCGCTGGGCGAAGGGGGTCTGTTCCCGGTTCCCATCTTGGCGCCTCCAGGGAGCAAGGGTTGCCGCTGGCGATCGGAGGAACCGTTCCAGGCGACTTGCTTCGGTCCATTCGATTGCAACTTTCCACCTTCCCCTGCCCCACGTCTGCCGGGGTTTCTGCCGGCGTCTGGGTCCCCTCGCAGCCCCTTTGACTCGGTTTCCCAACGCAAAGGGACGTTCTCGGTTGGGTGTCCAAATCGTCCCACCCTGCCGCTCCCTATCACTTTCCGGAAAAGTCTGGATTCTCGGCCCCCTTCCCCCGCTCCCCAATACTCAGGAAATGGGGGGGGAACGTAGTCTAGAACCCGCCAAACCTTTCTTTGGCCAGATGCATGGTTCTAGGAAGCTCATTTATATGGTACAATGGGACAGAGATGTCCACAATTGCACATCACCTGGATCTGGTAACCAAAGGTAGACTGCCTCTGGCTGGGGAGGAACGATTGCAGTGAACAGATGACTCCGAGAGGTTCATAAACAGGGTACGGTATAATCCGAGCTGATCCGGCGTCATTTGTTCCCGGAACCTGGTCACCAGGGGTATATTCACCCCTAAATAATCTATTCCTTGCTGTCATGGCTGCCTGCAATTATTCGGAACCCAGCCTTAAAAGGGAAAACAAATGCCGTATTTTTCGCTCTATAAGACGCACCAGACGCACCTAGTTTTTGGAGGAGGAAAACAAGGGGAAAAAAATTCTGAATCTCAGAAGCCAGAACAGCAAGAGGGATCGCTGCGCAGCGAAAGCAGCAATCCCTCTTGCTGTTCTGGCTTCTGGGATAGCTGCGCAGCCTGCATTCGCTCCATAAGACGCACACACATTTCCCCTTACTTTTTAGGAGGGGAAAAGTGAGTCTTATAGAGCAAAAAATACGGTACGTTTGTGTGTGCTGCACAGAGGAGCGATCGCTCCGTCCTTCATTCGTTCGCCAGCCGAAACCTGCTCACCTTCTCCAAAAACCAGGTGGGGTTCGGCTCACAGCTCCCACCAGCCCACCCGAAGGCCAGCATGACTAGTGGTTAGGGGTGATGGGGAGACGAATGTCTCTGTTTGGAAAAGGCGCTCCCTTCCTGAGAGTTGAGGAACACCTCTTAGAACAGGGCCTGTATCCTTCGTGTGCTGGACACCAGCGGCCAGCATGCCCAATGGGCGGAGGTCATGACCATTGGAGTCCAGTAGCATCCGAAAGACCCCAGTTTGGGAAACTCCTCTCCTCATTGTCTGCATCAGAGGCCTATTTGATTTGTATACCTGTCAATCCTATTCCCTGGGACTTAGCTGAGCATCGCTAGTGGGTTAAGCTATCCCTAAAATTTGTAAATAACCCCTCTGAACCGGGTCCAAGTTTTAATATCTGTACATAGAAAATGGAGGACCTGTTTTTATGGGTGTGGCTGTTCTTGTTATTTTTATATCTATATATATAAAAACAGTGTAATTTATTTTATTTTTAAATGTAGAATCTGCATCGGTCTGGGGGGGGGAGATGTTGATCTGGGAGGGGATGGGGAGAAGGCTTAAGGATTTTATCCTCCTCCTCCTCCTCCCTTTGCAAGCCTGCCTTACAGCCGAGCCGGGAATCGCTTTGCCCACAATCATGAGGACTAGGAACTTGCTTCGGTTTCCGGGGAAGCGGCGCCGCTCAGTGGGCAGCGCTGAGCTAGGTAGACCGCGGAGCCGGCAAGAAGCAGAAGTCTGTATCGCCCAGGATTTGGGTCCCTGGCTGTTTTTGGACTACAACTCCCATCATGCTTGGTTAGGACCAGGCGTCAGGGATGATGGGTTTTGTAGTCCAAAAAAAAATACCACCTCCACCAGAGCCTGGGCAAGTTTTTGCGAGGGATGCTGGGCACGTTTCAAAGCACTTCCCCCCCCTCCCCTTCTTCCCCAGCCGAGCTGTATTTCAGGGTGTGGATAAAGAGAAATAGATATATGTGCGTGTTTTTAACGTGAGTTTCGGTGCCTTGGTGCTTCCGGAGGGCCTGATCGCGGCCTTGAAGGCACCTCTTCCTTCTTCCTTGGTTAAATGCATTTGCGAGGCTTGCTCGCAGGTTGCAGCTACCCCCTCGGCGCAGGAGGGCGGTTTTTTTTGTTTGTTTTTTTAATTTGCCAAGCTGGCAATAGCCATATCTGCGATTGCTCGGTCTACGGGTTGGTGCTGACCGAACTTCGGCGCCTGTGCGGCGCCGCTGTCCGCCTTGCTTGCGAAGTGGCCTTGCTCCCTCCCTCAGAAAACGCCGTCGAGTCGGAGGAGCGAGTCAGGGCGAGCGGCCGCTTTTCCCGCTTCCTCTTGCTCTTCGAGGCTCCCGTTTTCACCCCGTCGGATCCGGACTTCCGTCCAGGGTCCTTTGGGAAGCCGGAGAAGGGACGTGCGCTTGCACTTTGGGGAGAAAAGCGATGTCTCCGTGCCGGCGTCGGATGATGGGGCAGAGCGTCTGCAAGCTGGTGGAGCGAGGTTCGAACGCAGGGCTTTGTGCAAAACCCCAAGCGCAATCCGGGCTTTGTGCAAAACCCCAAGCGGAATCCGTGCCGCCATAAAGCTAGGCCAAGCTCACGGAGCCTTTGAGCCCGGAAAATACTGCAGAACTACAGTTCCCATCATCCCTGGCAGCAGAGGCTGATGGGAGTTGTAGTTCGGCAACACCTGGCACGCCAAAGGTTCCTCGTCCCCGAGCTAGATAAACCTCAATGCTTCAGGTCTAGTGGTTTAGGCCCTTCTGGGATACACTGCCCGGCCTCCATGAGGCCCTGGATTCGAACTCAAGACCGGAAGATGCCCATATCTGCAGGCTGGGATGCGCAAGGCATTTTGGGAAGCACACCAGCTGACCAACAGCTGGAAGTTTTGCCTGGGATAATCTTCCTCCTGACCCCCATCTTAAAATTTCCTGAGTTCTCAGGGACTAATAAGGGAATCGTCATTCCCGTGCCCCCCCCTCAAATTCCTGTTATCTGGGGAAATTATATATTTATGATCTCCCTTCCCTCCTCCCTTTGTAATTAAGCAAGAGATATTTTTTAAACGGAAGCAAGTAGATTTATTTATTTTTGGTTGAAAAGAATAGCGTGTGAATTAACGGGAAGCTGCGCGTCGGTTGAGTGTTCAGGGTTTGTTTGGTCTGTTTGCAATGCGGATTAGAATTGCAGCGCAGGTTTTAAGGGGGGAAAATGTTGGTTTTGGTCGGAGGCGCGACGTATTTTTTCCTTTACGGCTGAGAAATCTGCACCCACCTGGCGATTTCCACGCGCCGACAGGAGGCTGACTGTGTCCAAAGTCCTAATCCATCCATCTATCCATCTACCGTATTTTTCGCCCTATAAGACGCACCAGACCACAAGACGCACCTAGTTTTTGGAGGAGGAAAACAAGAAAAAGAATATTCTGAATCTCAGAAGCCAGAACAGCAAGAGGGATCGCTGCGCAGCGAAAGCAGCAATCCCTCTTGCTGTTCTGGCTTCTGGGATAGCTGCGCAGCCTGCATTCGCTCCATAAGACGCACACACATTTCCCCTTACTTTTTAGGAGGGGAAAAGTGAGTCATATAGAGCAAAAAATACGGTATGTTTATTATGAGAAACAGCGAACACAAATGCCTTCATCGCATTTTCTTTCGAAGGATCTTCTTTGCGTTCTTGTCGGTCAACCCTGCAGATCTTAAAAGGGTTTTGCGGACAGTTCCGGCGGCTCAGAAAACAGCAGCTGGTGAAAGCTAAAACTATTTAATTAAAACTTTTTAGTTTATTATAAGACAAAACACAAAAGCAACAACCCCAAAACCTGAGGTTGCATTCCTTAAAGCCTCTTATTACCCGGGAGCAAACCCCATTGAATGAAATAGGATTTCTCCCCCTGCGTAGCTGTGGCTATGTTTGCACTAGTAACATTGAACTGGCCGGTGTTTTTAAAAGTAGGGTTATGTGACCCCAGGCTGCTTCTGAGAAAACTTGGGGAGTTCTTCGACTGCCCTAAATCTTGAGATATCTTCCCCCTCTGAGACCCACACAAAGCCCCATGGCTGTCGTTTTTCTCCCTTGAAAAGAACAGGGTGCCGAAGGTGGAATTTGGGGAGAGTGCCAATCTTTCAAAGTTCCTTTCTCGTCTCTATGGGGCACTAGGTCTTTTCTCAAGATCCGTTGGAAACAGAAGAGTTGGGTGTGCATGCACTTTTCATTTCTGTCTTGGCAGGCAGGGGAGAGGCATGGCCAGAGGGTCTGGCCACCCGCTCGGCAGCCGAAAATTTGCCAAAACAGCTGGCAAACCCTGCTGTATGGCTTGTGCAAATGGCGGATTACGCAATGTATTTATTTGACAACGTGTTCCCTTCTCCTGGTCTGAAAAAAACCCGTGCATTGTGGTGGACGATTTGAGATATTGTCAATATCCCACGCACCCTTTCCCCCTGTTATTTTTAAAGAAGCACTGAAGCTCGTGTGTGTGTGTGTTTTGGGTGTGCCGCTTGAAAAATAAAAACGACAAACTGCTTTACTCGTGTGTCTTGTGTGCTGTTTGTGAAATTGATTTCCTGCATGCTATTGTAAATGCCTTGCCGTGTCTTAAGAAGGGCTTTCTCCTAGTCCGTGTGTTTAAGAACATCAGAATTTTCTCGGAGAATGGGGAGAGTTGGAGGGCTCCCCAAAGGACATCTAAACCAACCCCCTTTGGGCGGGAATCACAGCAGTTCACCGCGAGACTGATCTGGGCTGGGAAAGGGGACTCTCTTTGTTTTATATGGATTGCTGTTTTTATAAGCTATCTGCCAAGTTATTTAGGAAGAGGATTGAAGAAGACATGTTGCGCATAACACCCCCCCCCCAAGTGTAAGGACCCCTGACCATGAGGTCCAGTCGTGGCCGACTCTGGGGTTGCGGTGCTCATCTCGCTTTACTGGCTGAGGGAGCCGGCGTACAGCTTCCAGGTCATGTGGCCAGCATGACTAAGCCGCTTCTGGCGAACCAGAGCAGCGCACGGAAACGCCGTTGACCTTCCCGCCAGAGTGGTACCTATTTATCTACTTGCACTTTGATGTGCTTTCAAACTGCTAGGTTGGCAGGAGCAGGGACCGAGCAACGGGAGCTCACCCCGTTGCGGGGATTCAAATCGCCGACCTTCTGATCAGCAAGTCCTAGGCTCTGGTTTAACCCACAGCGCCACCTGCGTCACTGATTTAAGTCATAAAGGTAAAGGGACCCCTGACCATTAGGTCCAGTTGTGGCCGACTCTGGGGTTGCAGCGCTCATCTCGCTTTACTGGCCGAGGGAGCCGGCGTACAGCTTCCGAGTCATGTGGCCAGCAGGACTAAGCCGCTTCAGGCGAACCAGAGCAGCGCACGGAAACGCCGTTTACCTTTCCACCGGAGTGGTACCTATTGATCTACTTGCACTTTGACGTGCTTTCGAACTGCTAGGTTGGCAGGAGCAGGGACCGAGCAACGGGAGCTCACCCCGTGGCGGAGATTCGAACCGCCGACCTTCTGCTCGGCAAGTCCTAGGCTCTGTGGTTTATAGATGGTCCCCTTATTGTGCATCTCCCCCCCTTTTTTTTTGCGAGGTGAGAGAAGAGGAAAGACACTCAAGACAGGTTGTACTTTTGTAAAAAAATTAATTAAAAAAATGCAGTTTTAAGGGCAGAGGAGCCTTTTCTGGGGGGGGGGGGAGTTAGCAGCCTGGAGACTTTTGCTCAGTTCCCTTTCTCCACTTTTTCCTTCTTTAAATCCCCCTTTCCTCTTTCATGCCCGTTCCCCTCTGGCCGTGATTTTACCCCATTTTCCCTTCCTTATTCCAACTTTTCGACAGGCACTTTCTAAGACACCTCATGTCCTGGAAAGGCACTGTAAAGTGGGCGTCGAGGACCCTTCTGGCAACGAGCATGCGCTTTGGCGCAACCCTACATCCTCTCGGCCCTTTGCCCTTAGCTAACATGGCGCCTTTTCTAAGCTTCCCGAAGCCTCCACCCTTTATGGTTTAAGGAGCATGCGCAGTGTCTGCCCTCCCTCTCCCTGTCCCCGCAACCAGACGGCTTCAATCAAGATGGCCGCCCCCTCGGGGCGCATGCGCGTTGGTGCCCCTCTCGAGCCCCGCCTATATTGTCTCGCGAGGGGAAGGCGTGGCTTCCGGCCCGCGCGGCGCAGGCGCGTTGCGGCGCGGCGAAGCCCCCGACCTTGCCCTCATCCAAGATGGCGGCGGCCTGAGAGAAGAAGAAAGAGCCGGCGGTTGGCCTCGTCCCTTCTCCCCTCATGCCCCGCCGGGATGCTCCGCTCGAGCGGCTTCCTGCGAGGCGTCGACTGCCCCTTCGGCACCGCCTGCCACAGGCCCTACTGCCACTTCCGGCACCCGCCCGGGCCGCAGCAGGGCCAGGCCAGGCCCCCCCCGGCCAGGAGCAGCAGCAGGAGGCCCTCCGCCTCGGCAGCAGGTGACGGCGCTCTGCGCATGCTCAGGGGCCGGGGGGGAGGGGGAGGGGGGAAGGGAGCCTCGCCCGCCCTTAGGGGGGAAGGGGAAGGCACTCTGCGTATGCTCAGGGGGAGGGGGGAGGGGAAGGGGGAAGGGAGCCACGCCCGCCCTCAGGGGGGAGGGGAAGGCACTCTGCGTATGCTCAGGGGCTCCTGCGCTCCCATATATCTATAGGTATATAGATACAGAGCGCTCTGCGCATGCTCAGGGGCCGGGAGGGAGGGGGAGGGGGGAAGGGAGCCACGCCTGCCCTTAGGGGGGAGGGGAAGGCGCTCTGCGTATGCTCAGGGGGAGGGGGGGAGGGGAAGGGGGAAGGGAGCCACGCCTGCCCTCAGGGGGGAAGGGGAAGGCACTCTGCGTATGCTCAGGGGCTCCTGCGCTCCCATATATCTATAGGTATATAGATACAGAGCGCTCTGCGCATGCTCAGGGGCCGGGAGGGAGGGGGAGGGGGGAAGGGAGCCTCGCCCGCCCTTAGGGGGAAGGGGAAGGCACTCTGCGTATGCTCAGGGGGAGGGGGGAAGGGGGAAGGGAGCCACGCCTGCCCTTAGGGGGAAGGGGAAGGCACTCTGCGTATGCTCAGGGGCTCCTGCGCTCCCATATATCTATAGGTATATAGATACAGAGCGCTCTGCGTATGCTCAGGGGCCGGGAGGGAGGGGGAGGGGGGAAGGGAGCCACGCCTGCCCTTAGGGGGGGAGGGGAAGGCGCTCTGCGTATGCTCAGGGGGAGGGGGGGAGGGGGGAGGGGGAAGGGAGCCACGCCTGCCCTCAGGGGGGAGGGGAAGGCACTCTGCGTATGCTCAGGGGCCGGGGGGAGGGGGGAAGGGAGCCACGCCTGCCCTCAGGGGGGAGGGGAAGGCACTCTGCGTATGCTCAGGGGCCGGGGGGAGGGGGGGAAGGGAGCCACGCCTGCCCTTAGGGGGAAGGGGAAGGCACTCTGCGTATGCTCAGGGGCTCCTCTGCTCCCATATATCTATAGGTATATAGATACAGAGCGCTCTGCGTATGCTCAGGCGCCAGTCGAGAGGGAGGTAGGGAGGGGGGAAGGGCCCCATGCCCGCCCTCAGGAGGGAGGGCACTCTGCCTATGCTCAGGGGCTCCTGCGCTCCCGTCTATCTGTAATGAGGTATATCTACCTATTTATTGTGCTCTGTGTATGCTCAGGGGCCGGGAGGGAGGGAGCCACGCCTGCCCTCAGGCGGGAGGGCGCTCTGCATATGCTCAGGGGCTCCTGTGCTCCCATCTATCTATCTGTAATGAAGTATATATCTTCCTTTCTATCTATCTGTTGTGCTCTGCGTATGCTCAGGGGCCAGTTGAGAGGGAGGGGGTAAGGGAGCCACGCCCGCCCTCAGGGGGGAGGGCACTCTGCCTATCCTCAGGGGCTCCGTCTATCTAAAGGTATATAGATAGCGCTCTGTGTATGCTCAGGGGCCATTCGAGAGGGAGGGAGCGGGGGAAGGGAGCCACGCCCGCCCTCAGGAGGGAGGGCACTCTGCCTATGTTCAGGGGCTCCTGTGCTCCCGTCTACCTATCTATAATGAGGTATATATCTTTCTATCTATCTGTTGTGCTCTGCCTATGCTCAGGGGCTCTTGCACTTCCCTCTATATTGAGGTATATCTATATATCATTATCTTCCTATCTATTGTGCTCTGCGTATGCTCAGGGGTTCTTTTGCTCCTGTCTATCTATCTATCTATCTATCTATTTATCCAGTGCTTTTTTTCTGGGGGTATGCAGGGGTATTCATACCCCTAAACATTTTGTGAATCTAAGTTTGGCTTCATTGAGGTGCGGTATTTCAATATGAGTAGGAATATGAGAGTACCCCTAAACATTTTTTTAAAGGGAAAAAAAACACTGGCCTTGGCAAATGAATAAGCTTAACGCTTTCAGATATTGAATCTCCCAATCTGAAAAAGCTTGGGGGGGGCATTCGTGTTTTACCTGCACTGGGGGGGGGGGCCTGGAGGCGCGTGGGAAAGTTAAACAACAGGAAACCTAACGCCCTTGAAAACTAAAAGAGGGCAGTGTCTCTTTAAAAGCCATGCGAGTCTGCGAAACTGGGACCTGTGACCAGTTTCCTCCACCCTCTGATATATCTCTGTTGCCACAGGAGTGAGGGCAGTCATGACATCCTCGCGTTAAAATAAGAGTTGAAAACATGAACAAATACCTCCGTTCCTTGCTAACCCACGAGAGCCCAGGTAAAATATATATATATTTAAAAAGATTGAATCCTGCTATCCTTGGTGTTCTTTCTTTGGGGTGCCGGGTAAAAAAAGATTGCTATTGCTGGCCGCTCTCTGGAGGTGAGGCACGCTATCTTCCAGGTGAATAGCCTACAATGCGGCTGGTAAATTTTGTATGTAGACTGTGTAACCCTTCACTCTCTGCTACTTACCTGTGAAGCATTCTTGAAATCATTTGTTTTCATCTAAGCTTTCCTGTGCGCGCTCTCTCTCTCTCTAGTTGTTGTTGTTTAGTCATTTAGTCGTGTCCGCCTCTTTGTGACCCCCTGGACCAGAGCACGCCAGGCCCTCCTGTCTTCCACTGCCTCCCCCAGTTTGGTCAAACTCATGCTGGTCGCTTCGAGAACACTGTCCCACCATCTCGTCCTCTGTCGTCCCCTTCTCCTTGTGCCCTCCATCTTTCCCAACATCAGGGTCTTTTCCAGGGAGTCTTCTCTTCTCCTGAGGTGGCCAAAGTCTTGGAGCCTCAGCTTCAGGATCTGTCCTTCCAGTGAGCACTCAGGGCTGATTTCCTTCAGAATGGAGAGGTTTGATCTTCTCGCAGTCCATGGGACTCTCAAGAGTCTCCTCCAGCACCAGAATTCAAAAGCATCCATACTTCGGTGATCAGCCTTCTTTATGGTCCAGCTCTCACTTCCATACATCACTACTGGGAAAACCATGGCTTTAACTATATAAACAACCACAGATGCTAATTGAGTATTTGGTCAAATACATGCCCACAGAGAGGGTTTTAAACTGGTGGGGTAGGCTGCATTTGATAATTAATCCAGTGTTGACTTAAATCTCCTTAAATCATTGAAGTTAAATTTTTTTGGTGTGTGTGTGTGTGCTCGAAACACCATTGAAAAATCAATCCCTTTGTTGGAAGGGGAACCAACGAGAAAGAAAAGCATAGGAATTGTCCTAAAACTATTGGTTTCTTCTTCCGTGGCTCCCTCCCTCAATTCGGTTTTGGACGGGTTACTTTTAAGAGCACGAGAACCTGCCTTAAACCAGATCAAAACAGCAGAGCGGGGAAGCTCGTTCTGACGGGAGCTGTGTCTTTGCAGGGTCTAGGGCAGAGATCGGGGTCCCTGAGTCATGTGGAAGAAAATTTAGTGCGCAGAGCGTTGCTTGCAAAGTACCGTATTTTTCGCTCTATAAGACTCACTTTCCTCCTCCTAAAAAGTAAGGGGAAATGTGTGTGCGTCTTATGGAGCAAATACAGGCTGCGCAGCTATCCCAGAAGCCAGAACAGCAAGAGGGATTTCTGCTTTCGCTGCACAGCGATCCCTCTTGCCGTTCTGGCTTCTGAGATTCAGAATATTTTTTTTCTTGTTTTCCTCCTCCAAAAACTAGGTGCGTCTTGTGGTCTGGTGCGTCTTATAGAGCGAAGAATACGGTGTGTGTTGGTATTATCATGCTGTTTCCTCGAAGGCTTATGTAGGAAGCTTCCTGGTCAGACCGTTCATCTCTCGTTGCCTGTGCTAACTGACAGATCCTCCAGGGTTATTAATATTAAATTTGTATACTGCCCTATACCGGCCGGTCTCACACAATGGAGCTTTTTCCCTCCTCCCAGGAATTGAACCCAGAACCTTCTGCATGCTGTCCCACTGAGCTACAGTCTTTCACCTAAAGAAATGGCTTGTTTAAATATGAATATTGGAAGGTGCCTTACGCCATTGATCATCCAGCTTAGTGTTGTCTACACGGACTGGCAGCCGCTGTCCAGGTTTTCAGACAGGGAGTCGTTTTTTCCAGCCGTCCCTGGAGAATCCAGGGTTTGTACCTGCACTTTTTAAATTTATTTTGTATATGTTGTACGTTTAACTTCTGCTGAAGAGACAGCCTTGAATTACCCAAGTCACGAAAAAAGGTGGCAGAGGAAATTAGCAAACGGCCTTTGCAGTTATCTGTTTCACCGTCTCGCTGGGACGAAGCCGCTGTTCTCCATGCCCTTCATTAGAAAGAAGAGCTTCGTTTTTGTTTAGCTTTTAATCGTCCTTAAATCGGGTGCTGAAATGACTCGGAGCATTGCATGGGGGGTTGGCGGATTTTCAAATATCCGTTGCCCGCGATGGTCTCTCCCTGCTAATTATAAGACAAGTTGGGTTAAGCTTTGAGCTGCAGGTGTCCAGAAGCTTATTGCCTCATTTCTGTCTTTGCTTTCGAGACAAATTTCACAGGGGTGAAACTCGGTTTTGTATGTAAAGGGGGGTGGAGGTCAAAATAGCCTTTCAGTTCCATTTTTCAGTAATGTTTCCTGAGCTGCTGCAACTTATGATGGTCACTGTCTTCCCCCCACTTTGCAATATTCAGCGCTGGCCAACACCTCCCACCCGCCCCAATGTTGCTAGACTGCAAGTCCCACAATTCCTGACCATTGGCCATGTGGGAGTTGGGAGTCCAAGCATTATTTGGGGGCGGGGGGGATAGAAGTTTTCCCTGTCCCTCATCTCAGGACAGGAGCACCTCTTGTAAACAGAGGCATTCTTACCTCTTCTTAGCTTGTTTCGTGATGGTCAAGAAAGGGCTGCATCAATAGGAGTCTAGCATCTAGATCAAGGGAAGTAATAGTGCCACTGTATTCTGCTCTGGTCAGACCTCACCTGGAGTACTGTGTCCAGTTCTGGGCACCACAGTTCAAGAAGGACACTGACAAAGTGGAACGTGTCCAGAGGAGGGCAACCAAAATGGTCAAAGGCCTGGAAACGATGCCTTATGAGGAACGGCTAAGGGAGCTGGGCATGTTTAGCCTGGAGAAGAGGAGGTTAAGGGGTGATATGAAAGCCATGTTCAAATATATAAAAGGATGTCATATAGAGGAGGGAGAAAGGTTGTTTTCTGCTGCTCCAGAGAAGCGGACACGGAGCAATGGATCCAAACTACAAGAAAGAAGATTCCACCTAAACATTAGGAAGAACTTCCTGACAGTAAGAGCTGATCCTGGCATTTTGGGGAATTCAGCTGGATGGCCCCTGGGAGGCCCCTTCCGCCTCTGCAATTCTGTGAGATCAGAGATGGGGAAGCTGTGGCTTTGGGATCGAGTCCGGCAAGCTCTAAAAGGCAGCAACAGCAGCGTGGGGAGCTCATCTGCGCTACCCTGGCAAAGACACACTCCTTTTCAAAACCTCGAACGCGTTTGACAATTCTGTTAGTTCTCGACGAAGAGCCGTTTCCAGGAATAGGTTGACTCCGCAAGTTTGGCCGGAGTGGCTTGTGGCGGCGGGAGATTTATATCTCTTCGTTTCTGGGGTGGCTTCTGTAAGCGAGCTTCACCGAAAGTGGGCTTATCTCTGCTCTTCAGGCGACCGGCTTAAGAAACTTGATTAAAAACAGAGCCTTCTTGGGCAATAGTTCCTTTCCTAGAAGTCTCTGTATTGGGCAATTTCCTCCTTTTGGTCCCTTTTTCTCAGACATTATGCCTTCCTAGCTAAGGCAGGGCTTTTTATTTCCAACTAGCAACAGTCCCCACAAAATGGGGGGAAGTAGCTGTGATGGGCTGGTGTCTGCCCCTAAAACCTTTGAAGCAATCTTCTCCCTTTTCTCTAGTGCGGGAGTGTGAGGGTTGCCCAGCAGAGCAGAGAGGCCTGAGATGGTGAGGACTGGTGTCTCGGCTGCTTATTACTTCATTGTCTGCCACGCAACGTGTCTTAGAGACTCAGTTTGCATACAGTCAGTTAAAACACAGCAGCCCCTGCCTAAGGTAAAGGTGAAGGGACCCCTGGCCATTAGGTCCAGTCATGGCCGCCTCTGGGGTTGCGGCGCTCATCTCACTTTACTGGCCAAGGGAGCCGGCATTCAGCTTCCGGGTCATGTGGCCAGCATGACTAAGCCACTTCTGGCGAACCAGAGCAGCGCACAGAAACGCCGTCTACCTTCCCCCCGGAGCAGTACCTATTTATCTACTTGCGCTTTGACGTGCTTTCAAATTGCTAGGTTGGCAGGAGCAGGGACCGAACAACGGGAGCTCACCCTGTCATTGCGGGGATTCGAACCGCCAACCTTCTGATCACCTACAAGCTTGCAATATTTATTTTTCGTTTTGGTTTTGCCACTGGTAATACCCTGCCAGAACTCTTGCCCTCTCGTCCAACACCATCTGTACTATATTGCTCTGAAAAACCAATAAATAAATGTTAATGTTCTGCTTTTTAAATTAAAAGATACATAATGTGTACTGGCTTGGCAGCAGTTGCTGTCTGGCAGTGTTTGAAATTTGCCAGGCCCCAGGCTCATTTTGGACGCGGGTGGCGCTGTGGGTTAAACCACAGAGCCTAGGACTTGCCGATCAGAAGGTCGAATTAAGTTCTTAACCTGAGGTACCACTGTATCTGAGTTTCTAACACTCTGTCCTTGCCAGGCCAGCAGTTGATGCATCGCTGATGCAGCCTGGTGGATTTTACGTTTTCTTTTAAAAATTAGATGGGATTTCTCAGAGAGATGCTAAGTCGTAACGTTTCCCTTTCTCTTTCCCCCCGCAGGGTGCGGCTATGACCCTTACAACCCGGAGCTTCCCAAGCCCGTGTCGCAGAGCCGCAATGGCTCCTTGGAGGAGATGGCCGAGGCGGCGCCCGGCATCCTGGAGCTCGAGCTGGTCAACAAGGCCATCGAGGCCGTCAAGAACGAAGTCGAACGCGAGCAAAAGAAGTACGAGGAGCTCTTGGGGACGGCGAAGGAGTACGGCTCTTCCGAGCCCCCGTCGCTGGTCTCCAAGGCCTCTGGGTCAGCAGCGCCCAAGTCCTTTGCTGCCTGGGAATATAACCCCGGGGGCTACAGCGCGGGCGGCAGTGCCGACTACAATCCCACCCCCCTTGCGGTGGCCGCTCCTAGCCGCTCCACCAAATACACCTTGGATTCTTTCGACAAGGCGAAAGGCAAGGGCAGCTCGCTGGAGTACGTGCCCACGGTGGTCACCCAGCCCAAGAAGTACAGTTGCACCGTGGCCAAGAGCAAATACACCCTCGACAACTCCAAGCCGTCCACGGACTTGGAGTACGACCCTCTTTCGAATTACTCCGCCCGGCTCCTGAGCAAAGCCAAGGAGCAGAGAGGGGCCAAGAGGAAAAGGGAGGCCAACCCAGAGGAGGGGTATTCGCCTTCTCCCAAGAAGCACTGCGACGCAGGGAGCGGCCCCGAGCCGGACGCCAGGTTCTCCGACTCGGAAGAGGAGCGCGAAGCGGCTCCCGTCCTCCCTTCGAAACCGAAAGCGGGTCCCGCAGACGGGAAGGGGTCCGCGCGGGCCGATTCCCGTTCTCGGCAAATGAAGGAGACGGCGGTGCAGTACGATATGGGGGACATCGAGGGCGGCGTCAAGGGCTCGCCGGAGGAGGGGGAAAGGTTGGCCAAGGTGCCCCCCCAAAGGGACACGAGCGAGGGCAAGGGGGGCCCGAAGGAGAAGTTGAAAAAGAAGGCCGTCGTCGGCCCCGTGGCGGACGGCAAGAGGGAGCGTGGCAAGGCTGCGGACAAGGAGAAGGCGGAAGCGAAGGCTCAGCGCAGGAATGGAGAGAGGAGTAAGGAGAAGCGCGGCAAGCCCCACGCCGACGGGCGTTCGAAGAAGCAGGAGGAGCCCCCCAAGGCTGCAAAAGCGGGGAGCTCCGGCACGTGCAAGAAGGTCCCGCAAGGACCTAGAGCAGAGAAGGTGGACAGCGTGAAGAAACAGGGCAAGCTGAACCCGCCCGGGGGCTTGAGACCCAAGGCCGAGGCTTCGCAGGCTGAACGTAAAGACAAGCAGGGGAAGCGGCCCCCTTCGAAGGGTCCCGCAGAGAGCCCCGGAGCCAAGTGTAAGGCGAAACGGCGGGCTCTGAGCCACGCTGACCTCTTCGGGGATGAGAGCGGGGACGAGGGACAAGCGGGGCACCCTCACCCTGTGGCCTTCCCGGACGTGAGCTCGGATTCGGACCCAGACGACGGCTGCTGCTTCCTTCCGCCCCGGGACAACGGGGTGGCGAAGCGCCCTAAGGCGCCCAAAGCTGCTCCTCCTCCTTCTTCCTCCTCGTCCTCCTCTTCCGACGAGCTCGACTATTCGGTCCTGGAGAGGGACGTGGACTTCGAGTCGGACCCCATGGAGGAGTGCCTTCGGATTTTTAACGAGTCGACCGACGTCAAGACCGAAGACAAAGGCCGGCTGGGGAAGCAGGTGAGAGGTTTGGGGGTAGGTAGCTTGAGAAAGGGATGTGGGTGGCGCTGTTGTCTAAACCACAGAGCCTAGGACTTGCCGATCAGAAGGTCGGCGGTTTGAATCCCCTGACGGGGTGAGCTCCCGTTGCTCGGTCCCTGCTCCTGCCCACCTAGCAGTTCGAAAGCACATCAAAGTGCAAGTAGATCAATAGGTACCGCTCCGGCGGGAAGGTAAACGGCGTTTCCGTGCGCTGCTCTGGTTCGCCAGAAGCGGCTTAGTGCTGTTGGCCACATGACCCAGAAGCTGTACGCCGGCTCCCTCAGCCAATAAAGCGAGATGAGCTGGACGACTGGACCTAATGGTCAGGGGTCCCTTTACCTTTAGGTTGGGAAGAAAGCCCCTCTGGCTCCGCTCCAACTTAACCCAGGTGAGGCTGCTTTGTGGGGGGGGGGTCGCACTCCTTTAATTCTTTTGAGTTTAGCTATTCCGAGTGAAACGTAAAAACGGGAGGTGTTTCTGTGGCCAATACCCATTTGCTCAGACCCTTTTGTAGAATCGGAATCATATAATTTTTAAGAGTTGGAAGGGGTCACCAGGGTCACCTAGCCGAACCCCACGCAATGCAGGAATCTTTCGGCCAAGGTGGGATTCGAACTCATTACCCTGGGGTTAAGAGTCTCGTGCTGTACTGCCTGAACTACCCACAGCCTTTTCAAGGCTAAGGGTGATTTCTCGCAGAAATAGTAGCACTGAGTATCAGGGTGGATTTGATTTAAATCACTAGTCAGCAAGACTTGATTTAAAACGTTTTTTTACAGAGAGACTCATTCTTGCTGGTATCATCTTAATATTTACAACCAGGTGAAGGTTTCAACTGCAACTGCAGGCCAGGAGGTTGCGAGGCGAGGGCCGTCCTGCCCGGCGGGGCTTTCTGAGAAAGCAGCTTCCAGTTTGTCACACAAGGGCAGGGGTCAACAACCTAAGGCCCGGGGGCCGGATGCGGCCCAATCGCCTTTTCAATCTGGCCCTCGGACGGTCCGGGAACCAGCGTGTTTTTACACGAGTAGAATGTGTCCTTTTATTTAAAACATACCTCTGGGTTATTTATGGGGTATAGGAATTCGTTCAATTTTTTTTTCCAAAATACAGTGGTACCTCAGGTTACATACGCTTCAGGTTACAGACTCCGCTAACCCAGAAATAGTGCTTCAGGTTAAGAACTTTGCTTCAGGATGAGAACAGAAACCGGGCTCCGGCAGCGTTGGGAGGCCCCATTAGCTAAAGTGGTGCTTCAGGTTAAGCACAGTTTCAGGTTAAGTACGGACCTCCGGAACGAATTAAGTACTTATCCCAAGGTACCACTGTATAGTCCGGCCCCCCACATGGTCTGGGGGCCAGCCCACGGCTGGAAAAGGTTGCTAACCCCTGTGCAATTGCTTCTGCGAAGTGACTTACCTCCCCACAAATCTTCTTTCTTTCGCTTTCGCTTCTGTTACTGTAAGGCGAGGCTCTTTTCCCACCCTCCTTCCCAGCAAAGTATGCAAACGGTGGTGTGGCAGAAAGCCTTCACTCACTTGGGGTAACCCTCTCTCTTTTTATCCCCTGCCTCCCTCCCTCTCTCCCCCCCCCCCGCCAGCCGTCGAAAGAGGAAGGGGCCGAGGAAAAGCCGGCCGAAGACTGTCTAACCACGCTCTTTCCTGGCCAAAAGCGGAGGATCTCCCACGCGACGAAGCCAGGGAACGTAAGTTGATAGCAGGGGAGATCGAGAGCATCAGAAAACCCTTAGCAGCAGCTGGATCATGCCCAAAGATACCGGGTTTACCGTATTTGCCTGAATATAAACCTCACTCTTCCCACCCCCTTCAAATTCCGACCGCGAAAAGTCGAAGCTTAAATCCGCCGCCTTACAAAAACGGGCTTTTACGATACGAAATAGACATACATTTTGGAATTAAACATTTTCAGAGTAGTTTTTACGGTTATATCAAGAATTACTGATTTGGCTATACTATTAGAAATACAGATCATTATGAAATTGTTGTGAGGTTTTATAAGTTAACTGCTTATATTTGGGCAACTTTTCTGCTGTGCCTTATTGCCGGGAGAAAAACAGATCATTTCCTTAACAACAATTTGAACAATTCATTTAACTAAGACCGTAACATCGTAGCGTACGTATCCATGTTTATTAACTGATGTGGTTAAACAATTAAAAACAAAACAAAAAGCTTAGACGGAGTTTCAGCACACATGAAAAATGGAAAACAAATCCTTATTTCCTTATTGGACTATAATGTATCTATAGAAAGATTTTTTCCTCCCAAAGCATTTTATTTTAAAAATCAGATTTTAATTTTAAAAAATCTGATTTAAATAAAATAAAAAATCTGATTTTTTTTTTAAATCATTGATTTTTCTCCACCCTGTTCTGAATATTCAGATTTGTAGGGGTTCTGAATGTCGTCATCGGGTCTCAGACTCCCGTCTGCCTCAAGGCAGCATAGCCCAATGGTCACGGACAATGAGAGAGTCCAGCAACGTGCAGAAGGCCGTAGGTTCCCTTCCTGAGAGAGGGGAAAACCACTTCTTAGCTCAGGGGTGGGCAGAAAGCCTTTGGCCCTCCAGATGTCTTTGGACTCCAAGTCCCATCAGCCCCCAGTGGCCAGGGATGCTAAGATTTGTGGTCCAACAACACCTGTGGAATCTCCATCTGTCCTCTCCTCCCTCCCCTGGTTTCTTTTTATTGGAATTTTCCGCTCCGGAGGGGAAAGGCAGTAGGGCTTTGTTTTTCACCCCATGAAACGAAACCAGAGAGCTCTTAATGGCTCGATGTTTGCGTGGTGTGTGCTGACCCCTTTTTCTCCCCGGCCTTGCAGCGAAAGCTTTGTTTTGACAAGTAAGGTCTGTGGTCAGCACAAATAACGTCTTGTGCTTTTCGCCCACCAGTCCATTAGTCGTCGTCCCCCCCCCCCCCAGATCTAACAGAGAGATAAGGGACATGGGTGAAATGAGTTGGAAATGGCGAAGCTCAAACATTTCGCTGTTCCTTAGCACCGCTGTACCCGGACTACCTCGCAGTGGGTTTGAGGCAGGCCGTGGGGAGAGAACAAAGGCGGCCTTGCTACGTACTGGGTGTAGCCCATGTGGCGCTTGCCGGATCGCGTCCCACTGCAACAGGGGTCAGCAACCTTTTTCAGCCGTGGGCCGTTCCACCGTCCCTCATGTGATCATGCATAGGGGTGATTAATAATAATAATAATAATAATAATAATTTTTATTTATACCCCCCCCCCAGCCAAGGCCGGGCTCAGGGCAGCTAACAAGCAATAATAAAAACAAGTTGAATGAATACAACTTAAAAACAAGATTAAAATACAACATTAAAATATTGAAACATTAAAATATTAAAATGCAGCCTCATCACAGGAGGAGAAAGGAAAAAGAAAGAGGGGGAAGGAATCAAATTGGCTCCAAGCCAAAGGCCAGGCGGAACAACTCTGTCTTACAGGCCCTGCGGAAAGAAATCAGATCCTGCAGGGCCCTGGTTTCATGAGGCAGAGCGTTCCACCAGGCCGGGGCCAGTGTTGAAAAGGCCCTGGCTCTGGTTGAAGCTAATCTAACTTCCTTAGGGCCTGGGACCACTAGGGTGTTGCTATTTATGGACCTTGAGGCTCTCCGTGGGGCATACCGGGAGAGGCGGTCCCGTAGGTACGAGGGTCCTAGGCCGTGAAGGGCTTTAAAGGTCAAAAGCAGCACCTTAAACCTGACCCTGTACTCCACCAGGAGCCTGTGCAGCTGGAAAAGCACTGGGTGAATATGCTCCCATGGCAGAGGCCCCGTGAAGAGCCTCGCTGTAGCATTCTGCACCCGCTGGAGTTTCTGGGACAGCTTCAAGGGCAGCCCCGCGTAGAGCAAATTACAGTAGTCAAGCCTGGAGGTGACCGTCGCATGGATCATAAAGTGGGTGGGGTTGGCCTTCCTGCCCCTCCCTTTATAATTGGCTCAAACTCTGGACTCGGTTTGTCGGTGCCAACCAACCCCCTTCCTCTCCGCGCAGGCCGAGACCCCGACCAAGCCCGTCTTCCGCCCGTACCGGCCCCCGACGGCCCAAGAGGTGTGCTACCAGCGGATCCAGCTGGCCCAGAAGCAGGCAGCCCAGCTGGCCCGGCAGCTGCCCCCCACGCGGCCGTCTCCAGCACCCCCGAGAGCCTCCGTGGCGATGCACAAAGGGGAGAAGAAGAGGATCGCTCACGTGCCCAACCCAGCTCTTCCTGCAGTGTCCAAGTGCGGTAAGCATCTCTGCTACAAGGGGTGGGGATCTTCCTTTCTGAGTGACAGACCTATTTCAACATCTGGTAGAGCATGGGGTCTTGTTTTTTGTTTGTGTAATGGTCACACATGTTTTGGGAGGACACCCCCATCTTAAGATTCGAAGTGATGGCCACTATTCTGTGTTTCCTTAAGAAAATGCGGAGTGCCCTTCAGGGTTAAAGAAAGAGAAGAATGCTGCAAAAAGTATAAAGATAGAGGTAATCTACATTAAGGTAAAGGGACCCCTGACCATTATAATAATAATATTATAATAATAATTTATTATTTGTACCCCGCCCATCTGGCTGGGTTTCCCCAGCCACTCTGGGCGGCTTCCATAGAAACCAAAAATACAATACATTAGGTCCAGTCATGGCCGACTCTGGGGTTGCGGCGCTCATCTCGCTTTACTGGCCGAGGGAGCCGGCGTACAGCTTCCAGGTCATGTGGCCAGCAGGACTAAGTCGCTTCTGGCGAACCAGAGCAGCGCACGGAAACACCGCTTACCTTCGCTGTGGGTTAAACCACAGAGCCTAGGACTTGTTGATCAGAAGGTTGGTGGTTCGAATCCCTGCGACAGGGTGAGCTCCTGTTGCTTGGTCCCTGCTCCTGCCAACAAATCTACATTAGACACAACAATTTAGTACAAGAGTACAAATTTCGAGGTCTTAGAACAAAGGAAGGAAGTCAATATGTGTATACGTACGTAACGATTAGAATGATGATATGGTTTTATTTGTAGATGTGCAATTTTGTTTTTTGTTTTGTTTCCCCCTCTGATGTTTTGTTTTGCTTGTTTGTACTGTTTTATTTTGGATTCATGTTTGTAATTTTTGTTGTAATTTTGCCTGTGGGTTAAACCACAGAGCCTAGGGCTTGCCGATCAGAAGGTCGGCGGTTCGAATCCCCGCAATGACGGGGTGAGCTCCCGTTGCTCGGTCCCTGCTCCTGCCAACCTAGCAGTTCGAAAGCACGTCAAAGTGCAAGTAGATAAATAGGTACCGCTCTGGCGGGAAGGTAAACGGTGTTTCCGTGTGCTGCTCTGGTTTGCCAGAAGCGGCTTAGTCCTGCTGGCCACATGACCCGAAAGCTGGATGCCGGCTCCCTCAGCCAATAAAGCGAGATGAGCGCCGCAACCCCAGAGTCGTCCGCAACTGGACCTAACGGTCAGGGGTCCCTTTACCGTTTACCTAACACATGTTTTGGGAGGACACCCCCATCTTAAGATTCAAAATGATTGTGACGGTTCTGTGTTTCCTTAAGGAAATGTGGAGCGCCCTGATGGGATCTGTAGGGATCCCCTCTAGCTCCACTCTGCGCATCTCAGCCCTGATCTCTCCCAATTGCTCACCCAATAATCGTCCCACTGATGCCAACAATCAGTGGGGTTTTCCGCAGTCCCATTGCTGCGTTGGGTTCTGTTCGTCTTCCCCCTTATCTTGCGCCAGTTTAAGTAAACATTGCATTCCATTCCCACACTGTTTCCAGTTTCACTTTTACAGCCGACACCACACGGACAGGACAGAGAGGTAAGAGTAATATAAAACGATTATTATCATTATTTTTTAAGAAGCAGGAGCGACCTCATCCGTGGTGTGAACTTTCGTTAATTACCGAGAAACAGGATAAGCTTTCTTTTTGCTTTGTTTTTCCTTGCCTGTTAAAATTAACGCCTCTTCTTTATGCCAGCAGCCAATTTGCATTCCGGGTGAGAATTACCGTATTTTTTGCTCCATAAGACTCACTTTTCCCCTCCTAAAAAGTAAGGGGAAATGTGTGTGCGTCTTATGGAGCGAATGCAGGCTGCGCAGCTATCCCAGAAGCCGGAACAGCAAGAGGGATTGCTGCTTTCGCTGCGCAGCGATCCCTCTTGCGGTTCTGGCTTCTGAGATTCAGAATATTTTTTTTCTTGTTTTCCTCCTCCAAAAACTAGGTGCGTCTTGTGGTCTGGTGCGTCTTATAGAGCGAAAAATACGGTAATCTGCAGGGATATCGCTTCAGTTGTAATTAGTTCCAGTCTCAAAAAAGAGTTAAAAGTAGGGAGGTTTTGCTGACCTGGTGCCCTGAGGGGGCGAACCTTGAGGGTTATTATGCAGTGTCTGGCCGTGATGGCGGTCACTCTCACTACGAGAGAGTCCTCCCTATCCGAAAACAGCTTCTGCCTCCGGTGTGACGAACGGCTCCTTCAGAGCATAGGAGGCGACTCCCATTTAATCTCCCTGTCTGCACAGGGAGAGAGTATGTCACCAGGATCTTCTGTTGGAGAGGGTATCTTCGCCCTGGGTATCATAAATCGCTGCGTGGTTATCTCTCTCGGCATGGCAGCCGATAACTAGTCAGGCGCCTCTACTCCCCGAAGGAGACATTATGGAAGTTTCCAAAATTGCAGGGGGGGGGGTGCATAGAGAAAAGTTTTGTGTTCCTCTCTCGTTTTTTATTATTATTTGATTTTTAAAAATTCAAGATCCAACTATCGAGATTGCTCTGAATCTCCTGACTTCCGCACATCTCCCTTCCCTGGGTCCTAACAATAATATTTACACCTGCATATCAACACTCTGGAGAGACAGTCTGCAGGCAGGGAGGGTCTCAGATGAAGCTGGGAGACAGCTGCCCTGGACACAGAACTGACACAAATTTTTATCCTTCCAAATTATCCATACTTTACAAGTGTGGTTAAAATCCTGCCCATGTTTTAACCCAGGGGTAGGCAACCTAAGGCCTGTGGGCTGGATCCAGCCCAATCGCCTTCTCAATCCGGCCCGCGGACAGTCTGGGAATCAGCGTGTTTTGCCATGAGTAGAATGTGTGCTCTTATTTAAAATGCATCTCTGGGTTATTTGTGGGGCATAGGAATTTGTTCATTTCCCACCCCAAAAAAATATAGTCCGGCCCACCACATGGTCTGAAGGACGGTGGACTGGCCCATGGCTACCAATGGATTGATTGTGTGACTGCAGTATACTGTTTATTGCTTTCATTTTATGGATCAGTGCTCTGGTTAGATAGTAAAATCCATGTTGAATTGCTGTTTTAGGGGTTGTTTTTAAAAGTCTGGAACGGATTAATCCGTTTTGCATTACTTTCTGCCGGAAAGCGCGCCTTGGTTTTGGAACGCCTTGGTTTTTGAATGGAATTTGCGGAAGTTTGAGAACCAAGGTACCACTGTATGGGTTTAGCTCATGTTGCCCTGTTCGGTTTATCGTGTTTTCTGCCTGCTTGTCCCCCAGCCCTAGGAGGCCTCAAGAAAACGGCTCTGCCTGGGAGCACGGCGTCTTCCAACGGCGCCGAAGCCCTCTCCCTGAAAGCCCGCACGCTCGCCGGGATGGCGTCCAAGACGACCAACACGAACGTCCCCAAAAGGATAGCCCACGCTCCCACACTGCAGGTACAGATTCTCTCCACTGCCCCCCCCGATTTGCTTCACAAGGGAGCACGCAGAACGCAGGGGGGCAGACTGTTTTCTGCATCTTGCCAGGGCCTCTGTCAGAGATGGGTTGTGAAATGCGCTAGGGTGCATAGAATTGTAGATCGGCGGCGTTGGAAGTAGTGAGGTGAGAATAGGGCTTTCAACATTGAGCACCACACTTTGAATTGTGCTCGGAAACGTACTGGGAGCCAGTGGAGATCCTTTAGGACCAGTGTTATGTGGTCTCGGCAGCCGCTCCCAGTCCCCAGTCTAGCTGCCGCATTCTGGATTAGTTGCAGTTTCTGGGTCACCTTCAAAGGCAGCCCCATGGAGAGCGCATGGCAGTAGTTCAAGCAGGAGATAACCAGAGCATGCGCCACTCTGGAGAGACAGTCTGCGGGCAGGGAGGGTCTCATCCTGCGTACCACGTGGAGCTGGTAAACAGCTGCCCTGGACACAGATTTGACCTGTGCCTCCATGGACTCCCAGGCTGTGCGACCTCTGCCTGGCTCCCTGCACAACCTCACTTCTCGCAGGGAGGGAACCGCCAGAAGACCCTCAGGAGATGGACCCCGGTGTCCAGGCTGGACGATGGGGGTGGAGACGCTCCTTCAGGTCTACTGGGCCATTTAGGGCTTTCAAGGTTGGCACCAACACTTTGAATTGTGCTCGGAGACATCCTGGGAGCCAATGCAGGTCTTTCAGGACTGGTGTTATATGGTTTTGGCGGCCGCTCCCAGTCCCCAGTCTAGCTGCCGCATTCTGGATTAGTTGCAGTTTCCGAGTCACCTTCAAAGGAAGCCCCACGTAGAGCGCATTGGCAGTAGTCCAAGCGGGAGATAACCAGAGCATGCACCACTCTGGCCAGACAGTCTGCGGGCAGGGAGGGTCTCAGATGAAGCTGGGAGACAGCTGCCCTGGGCACAGAACTGACCTGCACCTCCATGGTCAGCTGGGAGTCCAAAATGACTCCCAGGCTGTGCGACCTCTGCCTAGCTCCTAAAAGTCAGGTAGTTGTTTATCTCCTTGACATCTGAAGGGAGGGCGTTCCACAGGGCGGGCGCCACCACCGAGAAGGCCCTCTGCCTGCTTCCCTGTAACCTCACTTCTTGCAATGAGGGAACTGCCAGAAGGCCCTCGGCGCTGGATCTCAGTGTCCAGGCAGAACAACGGGGGTTAATAATAATAATAATATATTATTATTATTATTATTATTATTATTAATAATAATAATAATAATAATAATTGGGCTGGGCCCAAGATGGCAGGAGGATCTGAACCCTAGTCTCCCAGTCTCGTGGGCCAGTCGCACATGCCGTAGCCCCACAGATCCCAGTAGCCTGTCAGGAAAAGGGGCGGGCGATGCGTCGGCCGAATTCCTCAGGCGAATCTCTCCTCCTCCCCCAGAGTGCTACTTTGAAAAGACCAGTGATCCCCACGGAGTTCGGGGCAAAGGTTCCCACCAACATCCGGCAGAGATACCTCAACCTCTTCATCGACGAGTGCCTGAAGTCGTGCACCTCGCAGCAGGAAGCGTTCGACAAGGTCCGTACCTTTGAGGAATAATAATAATAATTTATTATTTATACCCCGCCCATCTGGCTGGGCTTCCCCAGCCACTCTGGGCGGCTTCCAACTGGGTGTGTGTTTGAGCAAGCCACCTGCAGAAACGAACCCCGTTTTGCAGAGGGCAGTATTTATTCGGTGTGGTGTAGTGGTTAAGAGCGGTGGACTCGTAATCTGGGGAACCGGGTTCGCTTCTCCGCTCCTCCACATGCAGCTGCTGGGTGACCTTGGGCCAGTCACACTTCTTTGCAGTCTCTCAGCCCCACTCACCTCACAGAGTGTTTGTTGTGGGGGAGGAAGGGAAAGGAGAATGTTAGCCGCTTTGAGACCCCTTCGGGTAGTGATAAAGCAGGATATAAAATCCAAACTCATCTTCTTATTATTATTCATTCGTTTCTCCGGCCAACGATGTCCTGTCCACAGGCCCTGGCGGAGGAGAAGGTGGTCTACGACCGCAGCACCAGCCGCAACATTTACCTGAATGTGGCGGTGAATACCCTGAAGAAGCTGCGCAGCGCCCTTCCCAGCCCCGCGCACGATGCTCGCAGTGCGTATCTTTCCTTGCTTGCTTCTTTTGTAAGATTATTATTAAGGCAAAGGGACCCCTGACCATCAAGTCCAGTCGTGGCCGACTCTGGGGTTGCAGCGCTCATCTCACTTTACTGGCTGAGGGAGCCGGCGTACAGCTTCCGGGTCATGTGGCCAGCAGGACCAAGCCGCTTCTGGCGAACCAGAGCAGCGCACGGAAACGCCGTTTACCTTCCCGCCGGAGCGATACCTATTTATCTACTTGCACTTTGACATGCTTTGGAACTGCTAGGTTGGCAGGAGCAGGGACCGAGCAACGGGAGCTCACCCCGTCATTGTGGGGATTCGAACTGCTGATGTTCTGATCAGCAAGTCCTAGGCTCTGTGGTTTAACCCACAGCACCACCCGCGTCCCTTTTTATTATTATCAGTATTTATTTGTTTATACACACATACATGCTCCACCTATCTGGGTGGCTTTTCGCAGCCACTCTGAGCGGCTTCCAACAAAATACTAAAATACAATAATTCATAAAATGTTAGAAGCTTCCCTAAACAGGCCTGCCTTCAGACGTCTTCTAAAATCAGATAGCTGTTTATTTCCTTGACATCTGACGGGAGGGCGTTTCACAGGGCAGGCGCCACCACCAAGAAGGCCCTCTGCCTGGTTCCCTGTAACCTCGCTTTTTGGAGGGAGGGAACCACCAGAAGGCCCTCAGAGCTGGACCCCGGTGTCCAGGCCATTGAGAAACAACAGACCTAACTTAGCCCTGCTCATTCATCTCAGTGGGCCTGCTCTGAGCTACAGTCTGTTAACTGCATCCGATCCATGGGTGGTTGCACTCAAATTTGCAGTCTCGAGCGTCCCAGGCTGGAGCCTGCTTTCAGAAACTCTCGCTAACGTGCCCATTTCGCACCCGGCTCCTTTTCCCCTTCCCAGGGATCAGCAACCGGAAACTGGTGTCTCACGAGGCCATGTTGGGAGGCAAACTGGCTGCCAAGACCAGCTTTACCTTGAACCGCTCTGCGGCCGCTCAGTTGCGGGCGGAGGACCTGAAAGGTAGGCTCCTCTTTGTGTCTTCTCTCTGTGTGTGTCTGTGACCCTTTCCTTTCTGCCGTATGAGGGCCTCGGGGCCGTTTAATACCTAAATCCAGAGCGAGGTAAAAAGGTAAAGGGACCCCTGACCGTTAGGTCCAGTCGTGGCCGACTCTGGGGTTGCAGCGCTCATCTCGCTTTACTGGCTGAGGAAGCCGGCGTACAGCTTCCGGGTCATGTGGCCAGCAGGACTAAGCCGCTTCTGGCGAACCAGAGCAGCGCACGGAAACGCCGTTTACCTTCCCGCCGGAGTGGTACCTATTTATCTACTTGCATTTTGAGTTGCTTTCGAACTGGTAGGTTGGCAGGAGCAGGGACCGAGCAACGGGAGCTCACCCCGTCATTGCGGGGATTTGAACCGCCTCATTGGCAAGTCCTAGGCTCTGTGGTTTCGACCTAAAGGTAAAGGTAAAGGGACCCCTGACCATTAGGTCCAGTCGTGGCCGACTCTGGGGTTGCGGTGCTCATCTCGCTTGACTGGCTGAGGGAGCCGGCGTACACCTTCCGGGTCATGTGGCCAGCATGACTAAGCCGCTTCTGGCGAACCAGAGCAGCGCATGGAAACGCCGTTTACCTTCCCGCCGGAGCGGTACCTATTTAACTACTTGCACTTTGACGTGCTTTTGAACTGCTAGGTTGGCAGGAGCAGGGACAAGCAGAACACCGCAAAACCTTTGCGTTCCCTCTGAAACCAGGAGAGCAGGGGATAACGTCTCGGCTCAGCCGGTTTTATTGAGTTAGCCAATCTCTTTGCCACCCTCAGGGGCCTCCCTCTACCGCCGGCTGAAGGAGTACGTGTTGACGGAGGAGGACCTGAAGGAGCACGGGTACCCTCTGCCGTGCCCCGAGACGTCGGGCCGCGCCGTCGTCTTCAACGCCGAGGAGAAGAAAACGACTGATGGTAAGCTCCGCGGGGAGAGGAACGAGGCCCTGGCTCGGCGATCCTCATATAGTGTCGATCCGTTGCATTTGTAACCCCTCCTGTCTTGTTTTCCTCCTCCCCGCTTTATCGCCAGCGACAACCCTGGGAGGTCGGTTGGGCTGAGAGGCAGGTTCACCCACTGAGCGGGGATTTGAACCCCATGAAAACAGGATTTTTTTCCCCTTTGCAAAGTGAGCTCAACAACTTTGAGCTGATCCTCAAAAAACGGGGCTTTCCCCCTTTGCAAAAGAAGCTGCACAACTTTGAGCTGATCCTCAAAAAAAAGGGCTTTTCATCTTTGCAAAAGAAGCTGCACAACTGTGAGCTGATTTCCCCCAGAAAACAGGGCTTTCCCTCTTTCCTCCTCTAAAAACTAGGTGCCTCTTATGTTCAGGTGTTTCTTATGGAGCGAAAAACACGGCAATTCATTGAATCTCTCTCTCTTTCTTTCTCCCTCCCTTCCCTTCCCTCCCCCAAATTTCAAGGCTCCTGCAGGGTTTGCTGCCGCTGCGGCACCGAGTACATGGTGACTCCGTCTGGGAACTGCGTCCGCAAGGAGGAATGCGTCCACCACTGGGGGAAGTTGCGCAAGCAGAGAGGTAGAGCGTTGCATTTGCGATCCTTTCCTCCCGCATCTTATCTTTCCTCCGCAGGAGCTCAAAAGAAGTGGGTGTTTGCGTCGGTTTGCATCTTCTGCCCGCGCTCGGACTCCCTGCGCCGTTCCGTCTTCGCGGCAACCTGTGAGAATTGCGCAGAGCTTCTTCTTGTGGCTTGGGAGTGGGGGGCCTGAGGGTCATCCAGCCCCCCCACCCCCCACAATGCAGGAATCTCAAAGCATCCACGACGGAGCCAACCTCCGCTTATAAACCTCCGAGGAAGGAGAGTCCACAACCTCCCGTATTTCGTAGAATTTCTACACCGCTTGGTTGTAAAAGCCGTTCCACCCCCCTAAAAAAAAAACCCTCAAAGGGGTTTCCAAAGAGAATAGAACAGGCATAGGCAAACTTGGCCTTCCAGTTGTTTTGGGGACTCCCATCATCCCTAGCTAACAGGACCAGTGGTCAGGGATGATGGGAATTGTAGTCTCAAAATATCTGGAGGTTGCCTATCCTGGAATAGAATAACAAAGTTATTGGTTAAAAGAAAAGAGGCTGTTTTGAACATTCAGTGAAATGAAATCTGCAATAAGCAGGTTCAAGCAGACATCAACATTCTGGGGGTCTGCGCAGGCTCGCCTGAACAAAAATGTTTTTCGCAGGCACCGAAAAGAATTCAGCGAACTGTTTCCGCCTTGATCAACAGGCAGGCGGGCAGAGGTCCTGGGTCCTGGGTTTGGATCCGTCCGTGGCCCTGAAACTTGCCAAGTTGCATTCTCTGAGGGTGGCCTACCGGGTAGGGCTGTTGTACAAGGCTGAAAATGGTTTGGCGTGGGGAAGGAATAAATGGGTTTTGAGTGTTTTGAGACACTGAGGGGATAGAACAAATATTTGTTGTCGTTTAGTCGTGTCCGCCTCTTTGTGACCCCCTGGACCAGAGCACGCCAGGCCCTCCTGTCTTCCACTGCCTCCCGCAGTTTGGTCAGACTCATGCTGGTAGCTTCGAGAACACTGTCCAACCATCTCGTCCTCCGTCGTCCCCTTCTCCTTGCGCCCTCCATCTTTCCCAACATCAGGGTCTTTTCCAGGGAGTCTTCTCTTCTCATGAGGTGGCCAAAGTCTTGGAGCCTCAGCTTCAGGATCTGTCCTTCCAGTGAGCACTCAGGGCTGATTTCCTTCCGAATGGAGAGGTTGGATCTTCTTGCAGTCAATGGGACTCTCAAGAGTCTCCTCCAGCATCATAATGTACCGGACCAATTCAATTCCCCGACCTAGTCGTTATGCAGCTTCGGCAAAGAGCCACTCTCTGAGCTTTGCTGTTTCCTCTTCCCTCCCCTTCTCCTTCCCCTTATTTATCTCATCCCTTTGGTTGTCAACAATCACCATCGTTATTATTAATTTAAAACCTTGAGTGCTTGAGAGAAAGGCAGGATGCAAATATTGCAAGGACAGCCTCTGCGTATCGTTCAGCTGGTACCTTCTGGGAAATGCCCTTCTGCTGATTCCTAAGCCACAGTGTCCTCCTTACTCAACCTTTTCCCTCCCTTTCAGTTCCTGGTGGCTGGGAAACCCATTACAACTGCTGTTCGGGAGCTGTGGGCTCCCCCGGGTGCCAAGTCGCAAAAGTAAGTACTTTCAAATTTCCTTGGTTTCCTTTTATCTCGCCCGTCCTCCGTCACGGAGCCCCAGGTGACAGAAGCGTGGTCGTTAGATCTAGGCGCAGGTCGTAGTTCACTGGTAGAGCTCCTGCCTTGCAGGCAAAAGGTCCCAGGCTCAGTCCTGCCCCCCTCCCAATCCCCAGGTAGGACTGGGAATGCTTGAAACCTTGCGGAGTCCGCGTGAACGTCAGCTAGACCAGGTTGCTCACCGGAGCAAGACGGTTTGAGCATCTTACTCCGATCCCGGTCCGACTGCGCTGGCTACCAATTCGTTTCTGGGCCCATTTCAAAGTGCTGGTTTCGACCTATAAAGCCTTAAGCGGCTCAGGACCGCAATACCTCAAGGACCGCCTCTTTCCACATGAACCTACTTGGACCCTGAGATCATCTTCCGAGGCCCTCCTTCGTGTGCCTCCTCCTCGAGAGGTCCGGAGGGTGGCAACACAAGAACGGGGCCTTCTCTGCAGTGGCTCCCCGTTTGTGGGAATGCTCTCCACAGGGAGGTTCGCCTGCTGCCTTCATTATACACCTTTAGGCGCCAGGCAGAAACGTTCCTTTTTAACCAGGCCTTTGGCTGATCTGTTTTGCATCCTATGCCCTTTTAAAATGTGGGGTTTTTTTGGGGGGGGCATTATTGGGTTGCTAGGGACGCAGGTGGCACTGTGGGTTAAACCACAGAGCCTAGGACTTGCCAATCAGAAGGTCGGCGGTTCGGATCCCCGCAATGACGGGGTGAGCTCCCGTTGCTCGGTCCCTGCTCCTGCCAACCTAGCAGTTAGAAAGCACCTCAAAGTGCAAGTAGATAAATAGGTACCGCTCCGGCGGGAAGGTAAACAGCGTTTCCGTGTGCTGCTCTGGTTTGCCAGAAGCGGCTCAGTCCTGCTGGCCACATGACCCGGAAGCTGTACACCGGCTCCCTCGGCCAGTAAAGCGAGATGAGCCCCGCAACCCCAGAGTCGGCCACGACTGGACCTAATGGTCAGAGGTCCCTTTACCTTTACTTTATTGGGTTGTTGTTTTTATTTTAGGTATTTTGTGTTTTTATATCTTGATTTTATTCTCTGAACTGCCCTGAGTATAGGGCGGTATATAAATTCTAATAAAATGATGATGATGATGATGATGATGATAGACTGCCTTTAAGCCTGGAGGCTTCTCCATGAATTTTTCCTGACCCCTCTTTCAAAGCCATTATCCTCCTAAAGCCAGGCGAGGTGAAATAAGCCGTCTTCCTTCTCTCTTTGCCCCTCTAATTTCCTCCTCCCTCTTTCAGCAACACGTTCACGACGGCAGGAAGGAGAGCTTGGAGGGTTTCGTGAAGACCTTTGAGAAGATGCCCAGCGCGGACGGAAACCCGGGCATCTACGCCTTAGACTGCGAAATGGTTGGTGGAGCATTCGATTGGGGCAAACTGGGGCGGTTTGGAAAAACGATAGCCATTAAAATCATCGACTTAGGCAGCTCGAAATAGGCTGCTTCTTTCAGCTTCGAACGTGTCTCTGTCTGTCTCCCTGTTGTGTCTGTTTTGAAAAAAGTTAACTAAAACCGTAGCTCTGTTCCTTAACGGCTGGAACCTCGGAAGCCGAACACCTTTGAACTCAAACGTTTCGGCTCCCGAGTGGTCGAAACCTGGAAGTGTGTTCCGGTTTTCGAACAATTTTCAGAAGCCAAATGTCCAGCGCGGCTTCCAATTGGCCGTAGGATAGTTCCAGGAGTCAAACGCATTCTGTATTCTGTTTGATAACCAAGGCACGACTCAATCTATCTACCTATTTATCTATCTATCCATCTGTCTGTCTGACTATCAATCTGTCTAGTTATATATCTGTCTATCTATCTATCTATCTATCTATCTATCTATCTATCTATCTATCTATCTATCTATCTATCTATCATCTATCATCTGTCTATCTATATCTATCTATCTATCTATCTATCTATCTATCTATCTATCTATCATCTATCTATCTATCTATCATCTATCTATCTGTCTGTCTGTCTGTCTGTCTGTCTGTCTATCCATATATCTACTCTCTCTCTCTCTCTCTGTCTATCCATATATCTACTTTCTCTCTCTCTCTGTCTGTCATCTGTCTATCATCTATCTGTCTGTCTGTCTATCTGTTTATCTGTCTGTCTATCTATCTATCTGTCATCTGTCGGTCTGTCTGTCTATCTATCTATCGTCTGTCGGTCTGTCTATCTATCTATCTATCTATCTATCTATCAATCATCTGTCTGTCTGTCTATCTATCTATCTATCTATCTATCTATCTATCTATCAATCAATCATCTGTCTGTCTGTCTATCTATCTATCTATCATCTATCTATCTATCTATCATCACCTGTCTGTTTATCTACTATCATCTATCATCTATCTATCTATCTGTATATCTATCATGTCTGTTCTGAAAAAAGATAACTAAAATCGTAGCTCTCTTCCTTAACCGCTGGGGAACAGTTGGCCGAAAGCAGCCTTGAAAGCTGTCAGAAATCTCTTATTCCCCCCCCCCTTTATTCCTGCCTCTCCGGACCCCAAATCGGTTTAATCTCTGGGTCGTTGAGTCAGGCGAGGGTTTGGCGAATCGGGGATCAGGGCTGCCTGCGGAAAGGGAGCCTTCCTGAGACACCCACCCCCCTCTAATACCTCTCTCTCCTTCTTCGGCTCCCGCAGTGTTACACCAAGCAAGGCCTGGAGCTGACTCGCGTCACGGTGATCAACTCGGAGCTGAAAGTCGTCTACGACACCTTCGTCAAGCCTGACCACAAAGTCGTGGACTACAACACTCGGTGAGAATGATCCTTTTTCATCCTTTTTCCTTTTTCCTTTCTCCTTCTGTGCTGGAACTCCTATTTGGGGACTTCCCTGCCTTTTCCCCGGCCCATGTAGGACCAGTCTGGATAGCTGGCCTTGGTGAAGATTTGACGTTTTCATCCCCAAAAAGTTTTTGATTTGAATTTCCACTGAAATGAGGCTTTTAAAATTTGACAATAATCATCATCGGTTGACATTTATGTAACATACTTGTTTTGACTTCCCTCCTCCCCCTTCTTGGTTTCTCGTAAAAAACATTTTCAAAGCTTGCGTCTCCCCTTTAAATCATTTTGTTTGTCGCTCTCTACATTTCTTCCAAAGCCAGCTTTTAACTGCTTGCTTTTAAATTAATCCTGCTAATGTGTTTAATTGTTCGCAGTAATTTTTTAGGTAATCCACGCATCTCCCCCATTCATTCTTCTTTCTTTCAAAAAAATTTTTTATTGAGTTTTACGTTGCAAATTTAAATTCAAACATTAAACATCAACATTATCATTTAGGATTCCCTGAACCCTTCAATTCCCCTCTGCCCTTTCATAGTTTTTTTCCCCAACTGCTTCACTTATTTTCTCAATTTTTCTTAAATAATCCATTTTTTTAAACCTTAATTCTGAATACATTACAAGCATTCATCAAACCCTGCCAAAGAATTTTTCCCATTCCTTCTTAAAGTTTTAGAAGACATCTGAAGGCAGCCTGTTTAGGGAAGCTTTTAATGTTTAATAGGTTACTGTATTTTAGTGTTCTGTTGGAAGCCGCCCAGAATGGCTGGGGAAACCCAGCCAGATGGGCGGGGTATAAATAATAAAAATAATAAAAATAAAAGTTCTTCTTGGTTTCTTAATCTTCCCGCGAGTTTTGCCGTTTCTGCAGAGCCCCTTAACGTTGTCGCAATTCCTCTTCCTTCGTCGGCGGGTCAGTGTCCTCTTTCCATCTCTGCTCAAAAGAGCTGCCGGGAGACGCCTTGTTGTTGTTGTTGTTTAGTCGTTTAGTCATGTCCGACTCTTCGTGACCCCCTGGACCAGAGCACACCAGGCACCTCTGTCTTCCACTGCCTCCCTCATGCTGGTAGCTTCGAGAACACTGTCCCACCATCTCGTCCTCTGTCGTCCCCTTCTCCTTGTGCCCTCCATCTTTCCCAGCATCAGGGTCTTTTCCAGGGAGTCTTCTCTTCTCCTGAGGTGGCCAAAGTCTTGGAGCCTCAGCTTCAGGATCTGTCCTTCCAGTGAGCACTCAGGGCTGATTTCCTTACGAATGGAGAGGTTTGATCTTCTTGCAGTCCATGGGACTCTCAAGAGTCTCCTCCAGCACCAGAATTCAAAAGCATCAACGCCTTGATCAAGCGGTAATCTTGTACGACTGCCTTCGCAAGGGCGAGTATTCCCACCCATTTGACGACGTTGATCTTTGCCTTCGCAGGTTTTCGGGTGTGACGGAGGCAGACCTGGAGAACGCCTCCATCACCCTGCGGGACGTCCAAGCCGTCCTGCTGAGCATGTTCAGTTCGGACACGATCCTGATCGGGCACAGCCTGGAAAGCGACCTGTTTGCGCTGAAGGTAATGGGACAATTCTGGCGGGACATTTCTGCGTTCTGCTTGCTCTGGGGAAAGCCAGGCAGTGATGTATCAGCCGCAGGGTGGGCTGGGGTCGTTTCCCCCTTTGAGCGGCTTAACAGAGGAGTCTCTGCCCCCACCCCATCCAGACTGAAGCAACTGAGCAGCGCTAGATCAGGCGGGTATTCCCCATACCCTTCGCCGTCCTACGGACAAACCCCAAACCCATCGCCGTATCCTCCAACCTGGTTTATTCCCAGAGCCGCAACTCTCCAAATCATACCTTCTATCTCCCTGATTCCCAGCACACATGGGCCACAGGGGGGCAATCTGATTTTTAGATAGGGGGCCAATTCGAGAACGAGCTATTAACAGCGAATGGCCTTTTAGGCTTCCTCCACGTGAATAGGAGCTCGCTTTTTGAATAATAAGAATCACCGTATTTTTCTGTCTATAAGTTGCCCCCTATTTTGGGGGAGGTGACGCGGGTGGCGCTGTGGGTTAAACCACAGAGCCTAGGGCTTGCCGGTCAGAAGGTCAGCGGTTCGAATCCCCGTGACGGGGTGAGCTCCCGTTGCTCGGTCCCTGCTCCTGCCAACCTAGCAGTTCGAAAGCATGTCAAAGTGCAAGTAGATAAATAGGTACTGCTCCGGCGGGAAGGTAAATGGCGTTTCTGTGCGCTGCTCTGGTTCGGCAGAAGCGGCTTAGTCCTGCTGGCCACATGACCCGGAAGCTGGACGATATGTCGTCCAAAACCGTTCTGATGTCCATATCGCGAAATCAGGTTTCATCACTTCTGGCCCGGCGATCTATCGGAAATCATGATGTTTGCGTGTGCTATGCACACTGCTTTCTTTCTTTAAAAAAAGTTTAGGGGGTACTCTCATTTTACTACTCCTATGAGGCCAAACTTAGATTCAGAAAAGGTTTAGGGGCATGCGTACCCCTGCGTCAATCCGTCCCCCAGAAAAAAGACCTGGCTATGCAAAAATCACATTGGGGGGGGGACCCACGACGCCGGCGAAGGCCTCTCTCGATTCCTGCAGCCCCTATTAACTCTGCCGGCTCAGCTCTCCCCTGGAGGGCGGGCAGCGGATCGCAAGAGCAGGCGACGGCAAAAATCACGGCACAGGGAAAACCACGATGCCTCTGCGTAGCCCGGTCCTTATTTCGGGCCTCGTGATCTAGCCGGCGATGATATCGCAAAGTTGGCAGCCAGATAATCGCCCGGCCCAAGTGGGGGGTCCGAGGACGCGTTCCTGGTGGCGCGAGGGTTTCCACTGGCACAGAAGAACTTAGCAGAAGTACTTGGGGGGGGGGAGGGAAACCCTTTGACCCCGTCTGCGTCCGTCTCTCCCGGCAGCTCATCCACGGGACTGTGGTGGACACGGCTATCGTCTTCCCTCACCGCCTGGGCTTGCCTTACAAGCGAGCTCTGCGCACCTTGATGGCTGACTACCTCAAGCGCATCATCCAGGACAGTGGTGAGATTTTGGAGGGGGGCGGGATGGGGAGCAAGGGAGAGAATCCGTGGGGTCTTCAGTCCGCCTTCTGCCTTCTCTGCTCCTGAGCTGCAAAGCCCTGCCACCGAACACCAGCCTCTCTAAAGTCCTACAGCTCCAATTCCACACACCCCAGTGCCTTTCTTTCCCATAAAGGAACAGCCTCACAGTCCCGCTTGGACTACTGCCATGAGCTCTCCATGGGGCTGTCTTTGAAGGTGACCTGGAAACTACAACTAATCCAGAATACGGCAGCTAGACTGGGGACTGGGAGCAGCCGCCAAGACCATGTAACACCAGTCCTGAAAGACCTACATTGGCTCCCAGGACATTTCCAAGCACAATTCAAAGTGTTGGTGCTGACCTTGAAAGCCTTTAATGGCCCAGTATCCCTGAAAGAGCATCTCCATGCCCATCGTCCGGCCCGGACACCTGGGTCCATCTCCCACGGGCCTTCTGGCGGTTCCCTCCCTGTGAGAAGCGAGGTTGTGCAGGGAGCCAGGCAGAGGTGGGGGGGGAACTCCTTGGTCCTGAATGGGGTAACTGTGCCCCTGAAGGACCAGGTGCACAGCCTGGGAGTCATTTTGGACTCGCAGCTGTTCATGGAGGTGCAGGTCAGTTCTGTGTCCAGGGCAGCTCCATCTGGTACGCAGGATGAAACCCTCCCTGCCTGCAGACTGTCTGGCCAGAGTGGTGCATGCTCTGGTTATCTCCCGCTTGGACTACTGCCATGTGCTCTCCGTGGGGCTACCTTTGAAGGTGATGCAGAAACTGCAACTAATCCAGAATGTGGCAGCCAGACTGGGGACTGGGAGCAGAGACCACATAACACCGGTCCTGAAAGACCTACATTGGCTCCCAGGATATTTCTGAGCGCAATTCAAAGTGTTGCTGCTCATCTAGAAAGCCCTAAATGGCCTCGGCCCAATATACCTAAAGGAGCGTCTCTACCCCCATCGTTCTGCCCGGACACTGAGATCCAGCGCCGAGGGCCTTCTGGCGGTTCCCTCATTGTGACAAGCAAAGCTACAGGGAACCAGACAGAGGGCCTTCTCGGTGGTGGCGCCCGCCCTGTGGAACGCCCTCCCACGAGATGTCAAAGCGATAAACAACTACCTGACATTCAGAAGACATCTTAAGGCAGCCCTGTTCAGGGAAGTTTTTAGCGTGTGATATTTGAGTGTATTTTTGGTTTCTATGGAAGCCGCCCAGAGTGGCTGGGGAGGCCCAGCCAGATGGGCGGGGTATAAATAATAAATTATTATAATATTATTATTATTACCCCTATCGTTCAGCCCGGACACTGAGGTCCAGCTCCGAGGGCCAAGATTGATTGATTGAGTGAATTTATATACCGCCCTATACCCAGATGTCTCAGGGCGGTTCACAGAAAAGATCACAATATGTAAAATCAAAATAAGAACAATAACCCAATAGAGCCACATTTTAAAAGCGTATAGGATGTTGATGAGGTCAAGCAAAGGCCTGATTAAAAAGGAACGTTTTTGCCTGGCGCCTAAAGGTGTATAATGTAGGCGCCAGGCGAACTTCCCTGGGCAGAGCTTTCCACAGACCAGGAGCCACTGCAGAGAAGGCCCTGTTCTCATGTTGCCACCCTCCAACCTCTTGAGGGGCAGGTACACGAAGGAGGGCCTCAGAAGATGATCTCAGGGTCTGGGTAGGTTCATATGGAAAGAGGCAATCCTTGAGCTATTGCAGTCCCTCACCGCCCCACCCCAATTCCTTCCCATCTTCCTGAGTCCCTCTTTGGTCGCCCCAAGGCAGCGGTGACCAAACTCAGCCCTCCAGCTGTTTTGGGACTACAACTCCCATCATCCCTAGCTAACAGGACCAGCGGTCAGGGATGATGGGAACTGTAGTCCAAAGCATCCGGAGGGCCGAGTTTGGCCACCACTTCCCCAGAAGATGAGTCACAACTGCATTCTCTCTTTGTTTTTCTTCCCGGCAGTGGAAGGCCACGACTCGAGCGAGGACGCCCGGGCGTGCATGGAACTGATGATCTGGAAGATCAAAGAAGACGCGAAAGTGAAGCGGTGATAGAGGAGGGGCGGCCGCCGTTCTTCCTCCTTCGCCTCTTCCGCTTTTACCGGTGCAGTGCAATAATGATAATACGGCCTGTGGGGAGCCTGGACCTTCCCCCCCCCTTCTGTGTTCGCAGGTATCCCTGCGTAGCTGCTGCTGGTGGCACCACTGAGAAAGCGTGTGACCTCGCGAGTCTGGCCACAACGTCCCATCCCCCACGACCTGTGGCGCGGTAGGCCCACCAGAGAACTCCAGGATAAAATCTGGGCGGCGCCTAACTCCCCGAAACCCCGTCCCGTTCGCGAACCTCAAAAAACAGAAACTTCGCTTCTCCTTTGGGGACTTAACGTGGGGCTCCCTGTGCGCCGCCGCACGCCGGGATGTCGACTGCGGCGACTCGGGCAAGCTGCAGAGGCTCCGGTCAGGCAGCGGGCTGCCTCCAAACCTGCAACCCCAGGGGAGAAGGCGGAGGCGGCGTGCGGTTGGCAGGGCAGCAGAACTGCCGGCATGGATATACGTTTGAGTCCCGGCCGTGGGTACGGCAGGGCATTGCGCTCGCGCCAGGAGCACTGGGGGCCTTCGGTGCAGCCGGCTGGTGTCGACCCACAGGAAATGGGCCCCCCTGCAAAGAGGGGGTTCCCCTCACCCCATCTCCCAGCGCAACGGGCCCCCCGGTCTCTGCTGCCTGCATCATCGGACTCCTTCCCAGGGCAGAGGATTGCCCCGTAGGATTGCCCCGGATAAGGGACTGGCAGTCGTTCCCGCGACGGGTTCGCCGCCCGCCACCTGAGACCCCGAATCGGCGGTTGCGCAAGCCCTCCAGGGTGGAAAACGGAGCACGAGCGTGGCAGAGTCGCTGCAGGAAGCCTTACGATTCGTCCGCCTTCGCAACTGCAAATCCAGGGAACTCCACTGTTCAGAGCATATCGCACTTAACTTCCAAGCTCAACCACGACTTTCTAAAAAAACACTAGGAAACGCTTCTTCCTAATAACTGCTAATCGCTGCTCTATGAACGCCCCGTGGGGAAACTTAACCCAGCTCGCTTTTTTTGGGGGGGGGGGATGCAAGTGGAAAACTTTGTCTTGGCGTAAAACGGAAAGTGGGGTGACGGTTGAATCCGCCTCCTCAAATTCACACACGCTCAGTTATCCGTGAGTGTAAATAACAATGTTCTAGGAACAGAGCGAGTTAGAAGACAGGGTGGGGTTGGGGGTGTTGGTTATCTATTTAAAACAAGGGGGCAATTCTGCACTACAAGCTGTTTTAGCTGACAAAACTCTCCCCTCCTGTGTCCCCCGAATTTTCATTTAAGGAGAGAGCCTAAAATGCTCTCTTGGAGAGTTTTCAAATGTTTCCCAACGCCGTCAGAAGCCGTTCATTCCCTTTAAATACCAGTTCCGTGTTTTTGCAGCTCCCATTCTGCCCTCTTCCTTCCTTCCTTCGAGGGTAATAAGAGGAGAAAGCAAGTCTCCTCTGCTCCTGGGGGGGGGAACCTATTATTATTATTAATAATAATAACCTTAGCGCAGGTCAACCTCCTCTGCAGCTGACCTCAGCCGTTCCCTGGTTGACGATTCCCAGATCTCCTTTGTTTTGTTAACACTGTACAGTTAATAATATATAAAAAAAACGGGCGCTGTAGACTTTGTATATGCAGAACTGGTAAAAACCTGTTAACACTATTTTGTAAATGTTTTTTTTTAAAATAAATAAACAAAAAATCCTGGCTATTTGTGGTAAGCACGATTGGTTGTTTTAGAGATTATCTCTCTCTCTCTCTCTGTGTGTGTTATTCTGCTTATTGGAGGGTGTTTCAGGGATAAAGGAGTGTGTGTGTGGATAATCCTGAGATTTTATTTTGAAAGGCCACAACTTTGCCAAAGGTTTCATCTTCGAAAAGGTAGAAACCTGTCCTTGTCGAGTTTAAATCAGAGAGGGCGTTGGGTTTCCTCAATACTTGGTCTAAGTACCAGCCCTGCATGCAAGAACTTGGAAGAACGCAGTCCCTCTTGAGACAGCCGGATGCTTCTTCTTAGATAGGGGCTATATCCCGGATAACCACTGGAGGGAGCTTTCTCTTATTTAGAGGAGCCATTCCCCTCCTGAGAGTCCACAAGGCACCTTCCTGTCTTCATTTTCCTTCACCGTTGGGTGAACATTCTATGATGTCACGACAGGCGAACCAATCGGTGGCGCTGGCTTCAGCCCTGCCCTGAAAATGCATTCACTTTTTGCATTCTCTCGCAGGAGTGCCGTTGTTGTTGTTGAGTCGTTTAGTCGTGTCCGCCTCTTCGTGACCCCCTGGACCAGAGCACACCAGGCCCTCCTGTCTTCCATTGCCTCCCGCAGTTTGTTTGTTTTTTAAAATATTTTTTATTGCTTTTTTCCAAGGTCAGATACATCATCAATAACTCAGCAAAAGCGGTTTTACAGAATAAAAAAGAAAAAGATAGAAGAAAGTAAATTCACATCTTCAAACATTTTTTCATAATCCACTGGACTTCCCCACATCCTCCGCACCCTGCATTCTTTGTAATAATAAAAAATAAAAAATATTACAGCAAATTAATACCTTGTTTCATGCGTTTTTGTACTTTCATCTAATTATATTTTAGATTTAGAGTACGTATTATTGGCTAACTTTTTTCCATCCTCAATCCCAAAAATAGGAACATTGCTCTAAAATTTGAACTTTTCACGGTCATAACTTAATTTCCCCCATTTTCAAATCTCAATACTGAAGCATGTTTTTCCAAAAACATTGCCTCCCGCAGTTTGGTCAAACTCATGCTGGCAGCTTCAAGAACACTGTCCCACCATCTCATCCTCTGTCGTCCCCTTCTCCTTGCGCCCTCCATCTTTCCCAACATCAGGGTCTTTTCCAGGGAGTCTTCTCTTCTCCTGAGGTGGCCAAAGTCTTGGAGCCTCAGCTTCAGGATCTGTCCTTCCAGTGAGCACTCAGGGCTGATTTCCTTCAGAATGGATAGGAGTGCCGTAGTTCGCACTATTTCCATTCTCTCGCTCCGGCATAGTTTGCACGGCGCAAAGAAACCCTTTCGTTTCCCCTGCATCTCCCAGCTTCCAGCTCCATCGCATCTTTACGAGTTCTGGCGTTGGGAGGAAGGCTGCTCTCTTAACGGCTCTCTCCACGCCGGGCGCGGTTTTGGAAACCTGGCGCGCCGCCTCCCAACTCGCTTGAGTCCGGATCACGAAGGAAAATTCAGAACGAAACCCACTGGGCCGTCCACTCTGGCACCTCGCATTTGGGAGGTGGGGGTCAGAGGTCAGGCAGAGCCGGCCAGGCTTTTTGGCGATGGAGACGTTGCTGCGTTAAACATGCCTATTTTAAGCCTGTTTGCATCCCTGGCTGGCTTCCTCGTGGGGGTCAGCCCCCGATCGCCACCCCTACGCCAGAGCCTCCCATTGTCCACGCTATTGATCAGGGTGCTGTGCCTCATTAAAACCCCTTCTCCAGTTAATTTGCGTCATGTAAGCTCCTTTTGGCCGGCAAATGTGGGATGGACAAGTCACAGAAGCAGGGAGGGTGGCTGGCCGGCCCAGAGTCTCCCGCTGAGATATCGACGGACCTGTCACAACCCGTTTGTGCCTCGCGACGTCTGAAGGGAGCTGCGTTGCAAAGAAATGTCCCCAGTCGAAAGCTCACTGACTCGACCACCGGTTCAGTGTTTTTTTTTGGGGGGGGGGGTTTCAGCATCCCATTTCATCTCCCCATCCCCTCTTCCAGCGACACCAAAGCGTCCTTAGTTTGCCGGTTCCGCGGCTGCATTTGAAGATTGCTTCAGTTTGCAGCCGGGAACTTCGGTTGCTCATCTCCAATCAGGTGATATTTGGCTAATAATATTAATAAAGGATGCGGGTGGCGCTGTGGGTTAAACCACAGAGCCTAGGACTTGCCGATCAGAAGGTCGGCGCTTCGAATCCCTGCAATGACGGGGTGAGCTCCCGTTGCTCGGTCCCTGCTCCTGCCAACCTAGCAGTTCGAAAGCACATCAAAGTGCAAGTAGATAAATAGGTACCACTCCAGCGGGAAGGTAAACGGCGTTTCCGTGCGCTGCTCTGGTTTGCCAGAAGCGGCTTAGTCCTGCTGGCCACATGACCCAGAAGCTGTACGCCTGCTCCCTCAGCCAGTAAAGCGAGATGAGCGCCGCAACCCCAGAGTCGGCCACGACTGGACCTAATGGTCAGGGGTCCCTTTACCTTTTTAAATAATATTAATAATAATAATTACTATTACTATATATAAAAAATGTCCAGTAGCACCTTAGAGACCAATGTGAACATGAAAGCTTATACTAAGAACAAACTTAGTTGGTCTCATAAGGTGCTACTGGACAATTTTTTTATATATTTCGACTGCGTCAGACCAACACGGCTACCTACCTGAATCTAGTACTATATTATTATTATTATTATTATTTATTATTTGGCGATCACTCGTAGCTGAGTAAGATTGTTAAAACCGTGTTTATGGAAGACAATGAGTCCATAAGTGACTGTGGAGGCCAATTCTGGATCCCCATGTCATTCCACAATGGGGACATAGGTTTCCACGCAGGAGTTGATCCTGGTGTGGATTTGCCAAGCGTGCCTTCCTCTTAGCATGTTTCTCCCTTGCGTCCTGAGTTCGAGTGTCTTCAAAGCCCAGGACACCTTTGGCAAAGGCTGTTCTCCAACTGGAGCGCTCGCAGGCCAGTGTTTCCCAGTTGTCGGTGTTTATGCTACATTTTTTTTTAGATTTGCCTTGAGACGGTCTTTGAAGCTCTTATGCTGACCACCAGCATTACGCTTTCCATTTTTAAGTTCGGAGTAAACTTTGGGAACCTCTGAACTTGATGATCCTCCATTGCAGGGGGTTACACTCGACGACCCACTACGATTCTGCGATCCTTAGGCATCCCTTCCTACGATTCTGCGATTCTTTCATCTGGCCTGGACTGTCCAGCAGTTCAGCCTCGTTGGATAGTCTGCGAGTTTTAGTGTTAGGAGAGGGGGAGAAAAGCCCTTTTCTGTAGCTACTTGGCAGTGCATCCTTTTATAAACCACTTCTTCCTTGCTTTTTCCCCAAACTTAAAAAAGCCCCAAACCCCACAGCCCTTCTACGTAAGGGAATCACTATCTCCCCACCAGGACTGTAGAAAGCCGTGTTGATTCACAGAAGGCTAGCAGTTGGGAAGGGGGCAATCTCCCAGCTCGGCTGTCCCAGTAGTGTGGGGTTTTTTAGAGGGGACCCCCCGCTGCGAAGCATTCAGGCCCCTTTCGTTCAGCTTAACCCCCTCCGCGCAGCCACGAGGCCGTTGGGGTCAGGGGTGATCGGGAGTGATCGATCCCACCTTTTGAAAGGCAATTTCATTCCTATAAAACTGCGTTTTGTTCCCGGACAGCCGGAGCAAATTGTAGGCGAGGGTGGGGGGGTTGCACGGTCAGCCAAAAGCATGGAGCACGCGAAGAAGGGTTTTTTGGGGGTGGAGGAGCTTAGTGAGCCAACGGATCGATCAGGGATCAGGAAGCTGATTAGAGGATGGAGGTAAGCTCTTTAGCGAGCGACGTCCGAAGGGTGCAAAGCCATTGATCTCCTGAGCACATCTGTGCTCTTGTTAACTAATTTTTTGGGGGGCAGTTTTTACTATTTGCACCCGGGGCGGATGCTTGCTTGTTTCAATGCGCACGTCTCAAATCCACTCTTCCCGGACCAGATCTGTGAGCCCCAAAGCTCAGCTCTCCCTCGAAGGTAGTTCTCCACCCAAAGAACATGTGCAAAGGTCCTTTTCTGGACCAAACCACATACCAAAAAAAGCCATGAAAAATGAACGCATGGCTGCTTCGATGGCATCCTCCGGACATGGAAGTTAGTGTGGCAAATATCAGCCGCTGATGTTCACATTTTGGGCTTGCCGCTTTCCTAAATTCATTTCTTTATTAGCACCTGTGCATCTTGTAGCTTATTTTGGAGAGGTTTACAAAAAGAAAGAAAAATCAGTTCTGAGATGCTGCCGGGCCTCACAATCGAAAGAAAACGATGAAACACAAAAGAAGATTGGGATTGAGAGGGAGGGAGAAAGCAAGCTCACAGGCACATAGAATTTTATGATGATAATAATGATTTATCCCCCCCATCTGGCTGTGTTTCCCCAGCCACTCTGGGCAGCTCCCAACAGAATATTAAAAACACCAAACATTGAAAGCTTCCCTAAACAGGGCGGCCTTCAGATGTCTTCTAAAAGCCAGATAGTTGTTTATTCCCTTGAGATCTGATGGGAGGGCGTTCCACAGGGCGGGCGCCACCACCGAGAAGGCCCTCTGCCTGGTTCCCTGTAACCGCTTCTTGCAGGGAGGGAACTGCCAGAAGGCTCTCGGAGCTGGACCTCAGTGTCCAGGCCGGACGATGGGGGTGGAGACGCTCCTTCAGAGATACTGGGCCATTTAGGGCTTTCAAGGTCAGCACCAACACTTTGAATTGTGCTCGGAAACGTCCTGGGAGCCAATGTAGGTCTTTCAGGACTGGTGTTATGTGGTCTCAGCGGCTGCTCCCAGTTCCCAGTCTGGCTGCCACATTCTGGATTAGTTGTAGTTTCCGGGTCACCTTCAAAGGCAGCCCCACGGAGAGCGCATTGCAGTAGTCTAAGCGGGAGATAACCAGAGCACGCACCACTCTGGCCAGACAGTCTGCAGGCAGGGAGGGTCTCATCCTGCGTCCCAGATGGAGCTGCCCTGGACACAGAATTGACCTGCACCTCCATGAAGGTGCCACCACCGAGAAGGCCCTCTGCCTGGTTCCCTGTAACCTCGCTTCTTGCAGGGAGGGAACTGCCAGAAGGCCCTCGGAGCTGGACCCAGGTGTCCGGGGTGGAGATGCTCCTTCAGGTATACTGGGCTGAGGCCGTTTAGGGCTTTCAAGGTCAGCACCAACACTTTGAATTGTGCTCGGAAATGTATTGGGAGCCAATGTAGGTCTTTCAGGACCGGTGTTATATGGTCTCCACTCCCAGTCTAGCTGCCGCAATCTGGATTAGTTGTAGTTTCCAGGTCACCTTCAAAGGCAGCCCCATAGAGTGCATTGCAGTAGTACAAGCGGGAGATAACCAGAGCATGCACCACTCTGGCCAGACAGTCTGCGGGCAGTGTCCTCTCTGCCCTAAGCATCACCGCACAGAAGAGAGAGGTGCTGTTTGCACACCCTCCACCGAAACTGGGTGGTTTCCCCAATTGCTGGCACATCTGTGGGCCTGTACATCTCCTGGTGCCTCAGTGGGTTCGCATTTTGACCATCCCATGCTGGCTGAGGAGGAAATCATCTCTCCAAGCCCTCTCCACGCTTGTCAGACCTTGTTAGCGTCCCCAGCAAAGAAGTCAGCCGCCGAATGCAAAATCCCCTCTGCAAAGATGGTGAGCTAGGATTAGGGGCTCTGAGGTTTTGCTGTCCTGGTTTTGCCTAAACTCAAATCCCCCCCCCCGTCTAATATCCCTAGCACTGCAGGATCCCAAAAGCACCTGGACTAAAAGGGTCTATCAAAAACTTCACTCTTGTGGTCACCACAACAGCTACTCACTTTGGGTTTTAGTAAAGCAAACCGTCTAATTTGTCAGCACCGGGACGAGGGTGGTGCTGTGGGTTAAACCACAGAGCCTAGGACTTGCCGATCAGAAGGTTGGCGTTTCAAATCCCCGCAATGACTGGGTGAGCTCCCGTTGCTCGGTCCCTGCTCCTGCCAACCTAGCAGTTCAAAAGCACGTCAAAGTGCAAGTAGTTAAATAGGTACCGCTCCGGCGGGAAGGTAAACGGCGTTTCCGAGCACTGCTCTGGTTCGCCAGAAGCGGCTTAGTCCTGCTGGCCACATGACCCAGAAGCTGTACACCAGCTCCCTCGGCCAATAAAGCGAGATGAGCGCCGCAACCCCAGAGTCAGTCATGACTGGACCTAATGGTCAGGGGTCCCTTTACCTTTACCTAAATGATATCGAGCGTCAGAACAGCTTGGCCACAATAAGGAACTTTTGCCCATGGCATGACTATTTTCCACCTTCCCACTTCGACTCTCTGGAACCCTATCTGCATAACCGAGCAATTCTAAAATATAGATGCGCTTTTACTCTCGCAAGATTGAATGTCTTGCCCTCGGCTGGACTTGAGGGACGATTCCAACAGATCCCACCTGGAAAACGTCCCTGTGGAGACAGCAGTCCTGAATCGGTGGCGCACGCCCTTCTGGCTTGCGCTGTTGATAAAGACTTGAGGAATGAGATTATCACCCCTCTTTTATTGTCCATTCTGGGTCGCCCAGCCGCTGTCCCAGTGTCCTTTCTCTTGGCAGATCAAGATGAACAGGTGACAGCAAAGGTGGCAAGGTTTTTAGCTGGGGCAATCAGAATAAGATCCACTACTTGACCATTGATTCAAAACCCCAAAATGTATTTTATAATATTGACTTTTTATTTTGAATCTTTGTATATCGTATTGTTGTTTTATTGCCGCGGCTGATGGCTGACGCAAATAAAAATTCATTCATCCAGGCGAGAGCGACGCTGCTTTTTAAAATGGACAGGAGAGAGGTGGTGGTGATGGTGATCTTTTTACATGCTCAGAGAACCTTACTCCTTGGAAAGCCTAAAGACCGCTCTGAGCCAGTAGTTATGTCAAAAGTAGAAAAAAGACACTCACGGAACCGAGAAATTACACAAAACAAATCAAATACAGTGGTACCTCGCAAGACGAATGCCTCGCAAGACGGAAAACTCGCAAGACGAAAGGGTTTTTGGTTTTTTTAGTTGCTTCGCAAGACGAAAACGTCTTGCAAGTTTGTTTCCTTTTTCTTAAAACTGTTAATACAGTTGCGACTTGACTTCGAGGAGCAACTCATAGCACGCGGTGTGGTAGCCTTTTTTGAGGTTTTTGAAGACTTTGGTATTTTTGAAGCTTTTCCAAAACTTTCCCGACACCGTGCTTCGCAAGACGAAAAAATCGCAAGACGAAAAAACTCGCAGAACAAATTAATTTCGTCTTGCAAGGCACCACTGTACCGTGAAAATCCCTGAAACGAGAAGTAATTGAATAGTTCAGTGAAACGAGGTTTGTAGACGGCATCCCGTTAAGTTTAGCAGAACTGGAATGACACTTGCGAACGCTAAATACTATTTACATGTTGTACTATTTTATTGTTGTTAGCTGCCCTGAGGCCGACTTCGGCAGGGGAGGGCGGGAAATAAATAAAATTTATTATTATTATTATTATTATTATTGAATAAATGTAACATATCTTAGTAGGATGTATGAAAAAGGATACAAAATAAAGCTGTGCGATAATACCATGACGGTAGAAAAAGTATAATGAGAACGATTGGAAGTTTCTTGTAAAAAAATATATATTATTTGAAGGACATGATGTTGTATAAATCTTTGGTTTTCTTTTCATTATTTTTTTCCTTTTTTTCTCTTTTTCCTTTTTTCATATGTTTTTCTTGCTTTTAAGTCGTGATGTTTCCCCCCCTATTTTTATTTAACCTTGTTATACCTACCCTAGTTGTATGTTTGTATTTTAAACCTCTTTTTTATATATAATAATATTTATTAGTTTTCCAACAAATTGAACACAACACTACAAAAAACCAAAAAAGAAAAAAACATACAATAATACAATACAATACAAAAAGGAAAAAAACACACACTGCAAAACACTAACATACAACTAACAAAACAAAACAAAAACCATTTAAAACACAGTCCAATTTCAATATTTTGCCCTTCTTTCACTAATTTCCACGACCTCCTCACACCTCCCTTTTTGTATTCCACTTCTATTGATTGTTTCAGCAATTCCTTTCCATCTTCCTCTATTTTCTACCCTATAATTGTCTTAACACATTCTAACCTTGTTTTTCCCTTTAATGCTCTAATAATCTATCTATACTTAATTCCTTATAACGTTTCTACTAAAGCCATATAACTTTTATTTTAAACCTCTCTCTCTCTCTCTCTCTCTCTAGGTATATATATAGGTAGGTGTGTATATACACACACACACACACACATAAAATTTGGCTGAGCTCTGGTTAAGTTCCTACTGGATTTGGGGAGGGGTGCAGGAGGAAAGATGGGGGGGGGAAAGGTCGGAGTTTGACACATGCCCCTCGCTTACAATGCCCCCCTTCCCCCAAATCCCCCCAGCTGTTAAATAGCAGAAGATGAGTAGAAGCTGGGAGTCAGAGCCATGAAGGCGGAAGAGTGAGGAAGGAAGAGAGAAAGAGAGAGATATCTTGGGACTTGGTGAGTGATTTATGTGGGGTGAAAACCTGGAAGGAGGTGTTCCGGTTTGCGAACTTTTTCCGGAAGCTGAACGTGCTCTGTTTTGAATGTAATGCTGAGGTCTGTCTCTTTTTCCCCCTATTTATTTTGCGTTTTTGTGGCTCTTTTTCATTTTGTTTTTGCGACTGCGTGGAACCCAGTCCAGCTACTGATGGGTCGATTGTGTGACTGCAGTACACCGTTTATTGATTTCATTTTGTGGATCAACGGTCTCGTTCGAAAGCAAAATCCATGTTTAATGGCTGTTTTAGGGGTTGTTTTTAAAAGCCTGGAACGGATGAATCCGTTTTGCATGACTTTCTATTTGGAACGCTTTGGTTTTGGAATGGAATTTCCGGAACAGATTAAGTTTGAGAACCAAGGTACCACCAAGGGGTGTGTGTGTGTGTGTTTGTGTGTGATCCTACAGGAAAATAATAATTATTATTATTATTATTATTATTATTATTACAGTGGTACCTCTGGTTCCGAACGGGATCTGTTCTGGAGGCCCGTTCGCAACCTGAACAGAACGCAACCTGCGTCTGCGCATGCTCGATTCGCCGCTTCTGCGCATGCGCGTGACGTCATTTTGCGCATCTGCACATGCGCGAGCGGTGAGACTCGGAAGTAACCCGTTCTGTTACTTCTGGATTGCCGCAGGACGCAACCTGAACACGCTCAACCTGAAGCAAACATAACATGAGGTATGACTGTATTATTATTTTATTTTAAGAAGACCTACTCCCTCTGAAAGGGATGCGGGTGGCGCTATGGGTTAAACCACAGAGCCTAGGACTTGCTGATCAGAAGGTCGGCGGTTCGTATCCCCGCAATGACGGGGTGAGCTCCCGTTGCTCGGTCCCTGCTCCTGCCAACCTAGCAGTTCAAAAGCACGTCAAAGTGCAAGTAGATAAATAGGCACCACTCCGGCGGGAAGGTAAACGGCGTTTCCGTGCGCTGCTCTGGTTTGCCAGAAGCGGCTCAGTCCTGCTGGCCACATGACCCGGAAGCTGTACACTGGCTCCCTCGGCCAATAAAGCGAGATGAGCGCCGCAACCCCAGAGTCGGCCACGACTGGACCTAATGGTGAGGGGTCCCTTTACCTTTACATTACTCCCTCTGAAGCTACCTCTTGCAGAGTTTGCAAGGTTCCTTGGCTAATACATTTGCCTCCCTCTCCTCTTCTAGACAAAAGAGGGCCATGTACCATATAACTGGCAGTGTCGCTTTCCCGCTGATGACCTCTCAGTCGCTCCTGTACACAGTGCCACCCCATCTTCCGCAGGCTCCGGGAGGGTGCTGCTCCTCCTTTCTGCCAGCACCCTCGACTCAACTCACGCCTTTCTGCGCCGTCCCTGCAATGGATCACCTGGCAGGTAAAGGGGGCTGGTCTGTAAAACGGGGCTGTCAGGAGGTTGAATTGTGCTTGGAAACATCCTGGGAGCCAACGTAGGTCTTTCAAGACCGGTGTTATGTGGTCTTGGCGGCCGCTCCCAGTCCCCAGTCTGGCTGCCGCATTCTGGATTAGTTGTAGTTTCCAGGTCACCTTCAAAGGCAGCCCCACATAGAGCACATGGCAGTAGTCCAAGCGGGAGATAACCAGAGCATGCACCACTCTGGCCAGACAGTCTGCGGGCAGTGTCCTCTCTGTCCTAAGCATCACCGCATTGTGCCTGGAAACATCTTGGGAGCCAATGTAGGTTTTTCAGGACCTGTGTTATGTGGTCTCTGCTCCCAGTCCCCAGTCTGGCTGCCGCATTCTGGATTAGTTGCAGTTTCCGCGTCACCTTCAAAGGGAGCCTCATGGAGAGCACATGCCAGTAGTCTAAGGGGGAGATAACCAGAGCATGCACCACTCTGGAGAAACTGTGTGCAAGCAAGTAGGGTCTCATCCTGCGTACCAGATGGAGCTGCCCTGGACACAGAATTGACCTGCGCCTCCATGGACGGCTGTGAGTCCAAAATGACCCCCAGGCTGCACACCTGCTCCTTCAGGGGCACAGTTGCCCCATTAAGGACCAGGGAGTCCCCCATATCCGCGGGCCGGATTGAGAAGGCGATTGGGCCGCTTCCGGCCCCCGGTCCTTCGTTTGCCTACCCACGCCTTAGCTTAATACTAGATGGACCAGGTTTTCCCATGGCGCTCCAGCCTTTCCTTTCCTTCCCTCTTGTTCCACTCCTTCCTCCACAAATAATAATACTAAAAGCCTTTTGCACGTGCACAGAAATCTTCCTGGACCTGCACTACGGCCTACCGCAGAGGCGCCGACGGAGCCGGACCGTCTTTACGGCGCAGCAGCGACAGGCTTTGGAGAACGCCTTTGAGCGGACCCATTACCCAGACGTGGGCACCCGGGAGAGGCTGTCCGCCTTCGCCAACCTGCCCGAGGCTCGCGTCCAGGTAATTTCGGGGGCGCGCCCTCCGTGGGGAAATTCGGCTCGCTTTCCCCAGCACCCGTCGACGTGCTGCAGCGGAGTTTCTAAAGCCTGCCTCTGGGGCAGACCCGCGTTGTCTGGGTTGCTGGCGGTGAAATATTTCAAAAGGGAACAGTTAGGGCCAGAGGCGTCAACTTGCAAGGGTGATGGAGGAGGGGACCAACGCTGCACACGTGACCTTATGGCGTCCCGGTTTTTTCTCCTTCATTTAATCCTTTTTATTAAAGGTAAAGGTAAAGGGACCCCTGACCATTAGGTCCAGTCGTGGCCGACTCTGGGGTTGCGGCGCTCATCTCGCTTTATTGGCCGAGGGAGCCGGCGTACAGCTTCCAGGTCATGTGGCCAGCAGGACTAAGCCGCTTCTGGCGAACCAGAGCAGCGCACGGAAACGCTGTTTACCTTCCCGCTGTAGTGGTACCTATTTATCTACTTGCACTGTCGTCCCCTTCTCCTTGTGCCCTCCATCTTTCCCAGCATCAGGGTCTTTTCCATGGAGTCTTCTCTTCTCCTGAGGTGGCCAAAGTCTTGGAGCCTCAGCTTCAGGATCTGTCCTTCCAGTGAGCACTCAGGGCTGATTTCCTTCAGAATGGAGAGGTTTGATCTTCTTGCAGTCCATGGGACTCTCAAGAGTCTCCTCCAGCACCAGAATTCAAAAGCATCCATTCTTCGGCGATCAGCCTTCTTGATGGTCCAGCTCTCACTTCCATACATCACTACTGGGAAAACCAGAGCTTGAACTATAGGTATAAAAGATACCTATTGGGTCCATCAATTACCATATAGCATATATCCAACACAATTTGTTGTTGACAAAGGACAGCTGAACATAGAAAGGGCCCCATTACCTTCAGGAGCTGAGGGCCTCATCCAGCCCTGTCTGGGATTATGGTTGAAATTACGATGTCCCTATTTTCATTGCAGAAATGTTGGAGGGTACGTGCAACCCGTTCGCTTGGGAGCAGGCTGTCTTGCAAAAGAGCCCTGATATTTCGGCAGGGGTCAAACCCTGACCTTTCCCCATCCCTGTAATTTGCCAGGATGAAAGGTTTGGGACCTTATCATCGTTCCCTTCAAAAGTCAACCTCCCAGTTTATGATAGGGGCATTCCTGCGGATAATTGTACGTCCTGGCTGGCACTTTCATTTAGCACAGCACCACCTCTCAATTTTCCATTCGCCTCCCACACACCCAAACCTCCCCCCCCCCAACAGCAAGAGAGGATTATTCCACTGGTCATACTGGTTTATATTTTGGTATTTTCCTGGGACAGAGCTAGGAAGGACACGGACTTCTCTGCTTAAAATGTTGGCACATAGGGCCAGTCTGCGCCATTCTCCCTGAGCTGCTAGCTTTCTGCAAATCGGGGAGGGCCGCTGGTTTGTGCATTCAAGCACACTATCCCCCACAGCAAATGAACACTCCGTGAGAGGACAGGGCCGTCTCTCTCCTCTCCTTCCTCTTCCTCTATCAATAATAATAATAATAATTTATACCCCGCCCATCTGGCTGTGTTTCCCAGCCACTCTGGGTGGCTCCCAACAGAATATTAAAAACACAATAAAACATAAAACATTAAAAACTTCCCTAAACAGGGCTGCCTTCAGATGTCTCCTAAAAGTCAGGTAGTTGCTTATCTCCTTGACATCTGGTGGGAGGGCATTCCACAGGGCGGGCGCCACCACCGAGAAGGCCCTCTGTCTGGTTCCCTGTAACCTCGCTTCTCGCAGGGAGCGAACCTCCAGAAGGCCCTCGGGAGATGGACCCCGGTGTCTGGGCAGAACGATTGGGGTGGAGACGCTCCTTCAGGTATACTGGGCCGTTTAGAGCTTTAAAGGTCAGCCCCAACACTTTGAACTGTGCTCGGAAACGTCCTGGGAGCCAATGTATGTCTTTCAAGGACCAGTGTTGTGTGGTTCCGGCGGCCGCTCCCAGTCACCAGTCTGGCTACCACATTCTGGATTAATTGCAGTTTCCGGGTCACCTTCAAAGGTAGCCCCACGGAGAGCGCATAGCAGTAGTCCAAGCGGGAGATAACCAGAGCCTGCACCACTCTGGCCAGACAGTCTGCAGGCAGGGAGGGTCTCATCCTGCGTCCCAGATAGAGCTGCCCTGGACACAGAATTGACCTGCGCCTCCATGGACAGCTGTGAGTCCAAAATGACTCCCAGGCTGCGCACCTGGTCCTTCAGGGACACAGTTATCCCATTCAGGACCAAGGAGTCCCCAATACCTGCCCGCCCCCTGTCCTCTAGTAGGCCAATGTAACACTCATTCTTCCCCCCAGGTGTGGTTCAAAAACCGACGGGCCAAATTCCGCAAGAGCCAGCACGAACCGCGGAAGAAGCCCCCCAAGACCGACGACCCCCCTGGCGTCCTTGTGGGAGGAAGAGGAGCGACCACGACAGACCGGCACCATTTGCAAGCGCCTCGGATGTGGCCCATGTCACAGAGCGCCGTGCCAGGGAAGAAACAGCTTGTCGTCGCTGTGGCAGAGGACCACACAGACGCTGCTCCAAGGCCTCTCCTGGGGGATCATAGAATCATAGAGTTGGAATAGACCACAAGGGCCATCGAGTCCAACCCCCTGCCAAGCAGGAAACACCATCAGAGCACTCCTGACATATGGTTGTCAAGCCTCTGCTTCAAGACCTCCAAAGGAGGAGACTCCACCACACTCCTTGGCAGCAAATTCCACTGTCGAACAGCTCTTACTGTCAGGAAGTTCTTCCTAATGTTTAGGTGGAATCTTCTTTCTTGTAGTTTGGATCCATTGCTCCGTGTCCGCTTCTCTGGAGCAGCAGAAAACAACCTTTCTCCCTCCTCTATGTGACATCCTTTTATATATTTGAACATGGCTATCATATCACCCCTTCACCTCCTCTTCTCCAGGCAGGGAGGGTCTTAGCCTGTGTACCAGATGGAGCTGCCCTGGATACAGAACTGACCTGCGCCTCCATGGACAGCTGTGAGTCCAAAATGACTCCCAGGCTGCGCACCTGGTCCTTCAGGGGCACAGTTACCCCATTCAGGACGCAGGGCGCATTTTGCTCTCCAAAGTTGCAAAGTCATAGCCCTGTGGGTGCAGCAGCTGCCTTGCATGCAGAAGGCCCCAGTTTATTTTAAATATTACAGTGGTCCCTTGGTCCTCAAACGCCTTGGTGCTCAAACAACTTGGAACCTGAACACTGCAAACCCGGAAGTAAGCATTCCGGTTTGCGAACTTTTTTCGGAAGCCGAATGTGCTCCGTTTTGAGTGCCACGCTTCCGATTTGAGTGTTACGCTGAAGTCTGTCTGTTTTTGCTATTTATTTTGCATTTTTGTGGCTCTTTTTTATTATGTTTTTGTGACTGTTCAGCTACTGATGGATTGTGTGACTGCAGTACATTGTTGATTGCTTTCATTTTATGGATCAATGGTCACGTTAGATAGTAAAATTCATATTAAAGTGCTGTTTTAGGGGTTGTTTTTAAAAGTCTGGAACAGATCAATCCATTTTGAATTACTTTCTAGGTGGACAGGAGAACTTCTAGGTGGGCTGGAGCAGGGACCAAGCAATGGGCACTCAAACTGCTGACCTTCTGATCAGCAAGTCCTAGGCTCTGTGGTTTAACCCACAGCGCCACCCACGTCCCTAATCGAAGAATGTAGATTCCTTCAAAATTATAGGAAGGGCTTTCTGCGCCAGCTAAACCATTTCCTTCATTTGATGCAGGGATTTTTACTTTCAATATATAAAGGGAACTCTCTTATTTTCCCCCCACCCACACGTGCGCATCACATTTAATTGTTTCTCCAAGAAGTGGAGTCGAGGGAAGAGGGAAACAGCTTCTACGATTCAGGGACTGTTCCTGGAAAACTGGGACACACTTGGAGTGGATGGTTGTTGTTGTTGTTTTTTAGTCGTTTAGTCATGTCCGCCTCTTGGTGACCCCCTGGACCAGAGCACGCCAGGCCCTCCTGTCTTCCACTGCCTCCCGCAGTTTGGTCAAACTCATGCTGGGAGCTTCGAGAACACTGTCCCACCATCTCGTCCTCTGTTGTCCCCTTCTCCTTGTGCCCTCCATCTTTCCCAACATCAGGGTCTTTTCCAGGGAGTCTTCTCTTCTCATGAGGTGGCCAAAGTCTTGGAGCCTCAGCTTCAGGATCTGTCCTTCCAGTGAGCACTCAGGGCTGATTTCCTTCCGAATTGAGAGGTTGGATCTTCTTGCAGTCCATGGGACTCTCAAGAGTCTCCTCCAGCACCAGAATTCAAAAGCATCCATTCTTCGGCGATCAGCCTTCTGGAGGGGATGGTAAAAAGGTAAAGGTAAAGGTACCCCTGCCCGTACGGGCCAGTCTTGACAGACTCTAGGGTTGTGCGCTCATCTCACTCTAGAGGCCCGGAGCCAGCGCTGTCCGCAGACACTTCCGGGTCACGTGGCTAGCGTGACGAAGCTGCTCTGGCGAGCCAGAGCCGCACACGGAAACGCCGTTTACCTTCCCGCCGGAGTGGTACCTATTTATCTACTTGCACTTTGACGTGCTTTCGAACTGCTAGGTTGGCAGGCACTGGGACCAAGCAATGGGAGCGCACCCCGCCGCGGGGATCCGAACCGCCAACCATGCGATCGGCAAGTCCTAGGCACTGAGGTTTTACCCACAGTGCCACCCGCGTCCCCTGGAGGGGATGGTACTATGCATTATGAAATGAGTGGGGCCGCAGCCTCCAAAAAAAAGAGAGGAGATTGCAAGAGCTGCTAATTCGGAGAGAATTTGGAAAGCCTTCCTGGTGATGAGTCAATGGCAGGCATGTGGGAAAGGTTTGCTGCTGCTGCAGGCAGTGAGTTGCAAATTGGCCCATGCAAATTCCTGAGTTTGCAGAGGTGGCAGAGGTGTCTTCACCTGGGCTTGGCCAGGAGGATACACTTCCTGATTGTCCAGTTATCCTCCGGGATTCTGAACCCCAAGAGGGGGCAGGTCCCTATATATATCATTTGCCCTTTGTGCCACCAGCAGCCAGTCGCCCACGACTGCTCTCAAAGGAAGGATGTGGCCTTAAACAGAGCGTCGCGGCAGGAAAGGGCTTCTGCTACCCAGCGAAGGATCAGTGTGGGAACAGTTTCCCCTGTCCAAAGAACAGCTGGGTGTGCTTTTTTTTTGGGCGTATTTTGTGTTTGCTGCTGAAGCTGAGTGATGAGGGCCAGATCGGGGACCGGAGTCGGGGCTTCCGGCGAAAAGGAAGAGAAACCAGGTAAACCCCAGTCCCCACACCATTTCTTCACACTCCCCGCCCCCCAGAACTGATCTCCTGCCTTCGTTTTGGCTCACGTCCCATTAATGCAGGGACGGGGAGTTCCGAATGCGGCCCTCGGGACCTCTCTATGCGGCCCTCGAAGGACTCTGGGCTTTCTCTTCTTTCTTTTAATTTTTGTTTTCAGAGTTTCAAAAAGAAAAACATTTTTTTTTTTACAAACACACAAACACACACACGTATACTTTAAACTATAATCAATATCAGTACCTTTATAGGGTTGCCTGAACCTCCGGTTTAGACCACAGCACCATCCGCAGTTTACTGCTCTTTCTTAATGAGAGGAGAGGGCTGAGGCCGTGAGAATTCCCTTCCATCCTGACAAGACTTGCCTTTAGAGAAAGAGTGGAATCTATCAGGTAATGGTAAAGGGACCCCTGACCATTAGGTCCAGTCATGGACAACTCTGGGGTTGCGGCGCTCATCTCGCTTTACTGGCCGAGGGAGCTGGCGTCCAGCTTCCGGGTCATGTGGCCAGCAGGACTAAGCCGCTTCTGGCGAACCAGAGCAGCGCACGGAAACGCCATTTACCTTCCCGCCAGAGCGGTACCTATTGATCTACTTGCGCTGGTGTGCTTTCGAACTGCTAGGTTGGCAGGAGCAGGGACCGAGCAACGGGAGCTCACCCCTTCACGGGGATTCGAACCACCGACCTTCTGATCGGCAAGTCCTAGGCTCTGTGGTTTAACCCACAGCGCCACCCGCGTCTCCCGTTGTTGAGTTGTCCGGATATTTCCCCAGACGGTTTCCACCCGGACGTTGTCTACCAGTGCCGAATCCCGGCAATGTACGAACGTTAGTCCTAGCCGCTGGTGAGTTCCAGCAGGGTTTTGTTTTGTTTTTATGCTGGTAGGACGAAAGGCTGGGAGCCCATCAGCAGGTGGCGCTATTGGGGAATGAGAGGCCAGAGCAAACTCATTCCAGCTCTGGCCCCTTCCTCCTCCTCCTCCCTGCTGAGTTCTGCAAGGGCTGAGTTCTGCAAGGAGGAACTGACCACCTTCTGGACTAGCAGTAAGTAGGACAGCAGGCAGAGGGGCTAAGTTTGTCATCCCGTTTGCCCTAGACTAGTGACCAGCAACCGCTGAGGGACAGCCTCACATGAAAATCTCATTACTTTATTCTAATGCCCAGGGTTTTAGCAATAACCGTGGGCACCACTGAAACACTGGAGGGAAAGCGGTATCTTGGTGCGATCGCCACACATGCCATCGTCTCAAGATTGCTTCGTGACAGTGCGTTACTTTACGTGCGAGGAGGGGCAGAGAAATGTAAATGAAAGCCGGGGCAGTCTGGGGCTGCTCTGATTCAGGGAATTAATCCAGGTTTAACCCTAATTAAGAAGGAGAGGAATGCGGAGGAGAGGGAGAAGTTGCAAAAAGGAATGGGGAAATGGGCCTTTTCTTTGGGTTGCAGCACATTCCGTAATGATAATTTTATTATTTATGCCCCTGCCCATCTGTCTGGGTTGCCCCAGCCGCTCTGGCCAGCTTCCAACATATATAAAAACATGTTGTTGTCGTTTAGTCGTTTAGTGGTGTCCGCCTCTTTGTGACCCCCTGGACCAGAGCACGCCAGGCCCTCCTGTCCTCCATTGCCTCCCGCAGTTTGGTCAAACTCATGCTGGCAGCTTCGAGAACACTGTCCCACCATCTCATCCTCTGTCATCCCCTTCTCCTTGCACCCTCCATCTTTCCCAACATCAGGGTCTTTTCCAGGGAGTCTTCTCTTCTCATGAGGTGGCCAAAGTCTTGGAGCCTCAGCTTCAGGATCTGTCCTTCCAGTGAGCACTCAGGGCTGATTTCCTTCAGAATGGAGAGGTTGGATCTTCTTGCAGACCAGGTATAAAAACAATTGATTAAAATACAACTTAAAAACCAGATTAAAATACAACGTTAAAATGCAGCCTCATTTCAGTAGAAACTCAAATCAAAAACTTTTTGGGGATGAAAACCTGCATCTCTGGGTTGTTTGTGGGGCATAGGAATTCGTTCATATTTTCCCCAAAATATAGTCCAGCCCCCCACACGCTCTGAGGGACAGTGGACCGTCCCACGGCTGGAAAAGTTTGCTGACCCCTGGAATTACGATGCAAACTACTAATAATTATAAATAGCTTTATTAATATGAAGTTAAGTGTTATAACCTGTACAATGCAATTGTAGTTAACACAAGCAGGTGGGGCCCATGACTTACATCACAGGAGCCTACACAACACAAAACACTGTTGCTGCATGTAGGTTTTATTTTATTTGTCTTTTATCTTATATTTTGGAAATGTACGTCCAGTTGTTTTCCCGCCCTTTAAAC